TTTTGGAGCCCAGAACCCGGACAGACCAATAAAGAAACAGTTAAAAATGTCACAAATCAACTTTTTTTTGTTGATGTAGGTAAAAGAGCTAGCGGTCTACCTTATAATAAGTGTTCACTGCTGCCCATGGACACTTGCAGCACCAAGGAAAGCTGATCTTTGTTGGAAGTCTGCATTTATGGTTACAGTGTTAGAATAGATTTATTCATTTTCAAAGACATTTAAATTGACGGATTAATTGGCAACCCAAAACAGGAAATTTTTAAACCCGGACGACAAATGAAACCTCGCCCGGATGCTCCCCGGACGCCCCGTAAACTAGGACAAATCCGGGGAAACCCGGACGGATGGCAGCCCTACTCCTAACCTATATGAGAGCACTACGCTACGTTACAATATCCAATAGTTTGAATTTTGCCGCGAAGGCGCAGTGTAGGTTTCAGAACACTACGTTACAGGAGGACAACCATTATCACTTAAGGATATGAAAAATAGATAGTAGCCAATTCTCAGACCCACGGAATATGCATATAAAGATTCATAAAAATCGGTCAGGCCGTTTCGGAGGAGTATGGTAACTAACATTGTGACACGAGAATTTTATATATAAGAAGTATACGAGGCGCAACAAATTATCCCACCCCACCGGATGTGCCGTAATTCCTACTTACACTTAACATTAGGTAGACATCGACTGGACTCCTCCAGTCGCGAAGAGAGATGCGGCAGAAACTGTGCCGCTTCAGCCACCTTCACCTTACTGACCTGAACCCAATCCCCTATTGCGCGGAGCCCTGAAACCCTACTCACCAGCAGAAACACTACAAGGTACTGTTATTTACTGTGGTGTTCTGTAAGTTCTGGGGAAGCAACCTCTGCTTCCCCAGACAGACAAAACTTGAGGATATTGGGCACTTTTCCTTTCAGTCAATAATATTATTTGAAAAGGATACAAGCGGCTCTAGTTTCGGGGTCTATGTGGTATTATAGGTATGGGCGTCCGGGTTGGAGGCTCTTTTCATAATTCAAAACCTTGATTTTTGAAATTTCAAGGGGTAGTTATGATTAATCAAAAAATTGTATTGTACAATTTTGAGGCCCCTTTTATTTTTATTTAACTGCTCTTCCCCCTCGAATAGGGCATATTTTCACAAACTGTTCCATTGTTTTCTGCACCCCGTCTAAGAAACAAACATTTATTCCAGTGACAACTGCTTTGCCCACAAACTGCACGACTGCGCGTGCTCTGGAGGGTGTGTGCACCGCGCGAACATCCTGCGATCACGGCACGCCGGTCATCGACCTCTCGCTCTACAAGCCCAGCTGGTATAGAAGGTACAAGAGAATACCCCTGACTTTAGGGACTTTAGGGACACGAGCAGTATGAAAATAGGGAGTTATTCCTCGTTCTTCACACTGCTAATATTACATTACAACACCTTGTTACATGCCAAGATTGTTTAGAAAACAACACTTTTTCTATCTATGGGGGTCACTCGAGCTAGACTTATAAAAGGAGTAGTAATGCTTTGCTTGTTCAATGTTCCCCATGAATTTATTAACAATGTTCAATGTACCTGAACCGTTATCAAAGAAATTTCAATAAATCGCCTCATCCTCGGCCTCGATTGTATTACGCTCGGAACACAGATAGTAGCTTGTCCCAAAATCCCTATCGATTCACGTATTAAGAATCATTAATAGTAGAAAATAAATTTAGCATGGAAAGTTTTGTTTTTCCAGCAGAGATTTGTATTTTAATCCATTAAAATATTAATCGCCCTAGTGCGGTAGGACCACGGATACATAGTGATATAACGTAGTCCTACCAGTAGGACAAACTGGTAGGACCACGGACCATAACCGTGGGAGAGGCATAATACAGTATAGAATAGCGGTTAATTAGTTCCTACAACCTGGGATCCTTTAAAAGAGGTGCAATAAATTGAATTGAATTGAGGCGTGAAAAAGCAACTTGCAGGCCGGCAAGGTGAGGATGGCTGGTGTGGCAGGTAGAACTACTGTACCAGCTATCTTATCGCCTGGACTTAACCGTCACTTAACATCAGGTGGGGTGTAGTCATTTGTCGGCTCTATCTATAAAAAAAACCTGGATTTCCTATACTGTGTTATGCTTCTCCCAGTTCTTCTACCAGTGCGACGAAGCTTTGATTAAGTATTTATTGTGTTGATGCTAGTGTATAGGCGATTTATCGTAATTTCTATGAAAACGGTTAAGATACATTGAACCCAACGATATATATCGTTGATTGAACCTTGTCAATAAATTCATGAGGTACACTGAACAAGCAAAGCAGTACCACTACTTTTATAAGTACACATAGAAATCAAATCAAATCAAAATCGTTTATTCAGCACAGTACACGGATACAGATAAATTGTTATACTTATAAAATGACAATTAGATATAGACATCTATAATAAATACCACATAACATAGACCCCCCAAACGCCAACTTAAACCTGACAGCAGCGTATCCCTGTCACTACGTATAGTGAATGAAAAGGACTGACTGGTACCAAATTCAGTCCTAAGTTACAGTCCAGCACGGCTGCGTTGAAAAGGGCCCAGTTCAGCATAATGTCAGTGCAGTATGCACTGGCGCTGGTTTTCAACTGGGTCTTTTATCTGACAAGTGGATGCCAAACACTAACGATTTTTTATAATTACAATTATTATATAATTTAAAAGACAAAATAAAAAATGAAATGACACTGAATTAATTTTTGGTGGTGTTGTTTCTGTCACTAAGGTTCCAAGGTGGACGCGTTCGGAGATGGGGTCTGGGTAGATAATGGCGCGAGTGATATTTTTGGTATACATTCGGCAAACTTGTTGTGGATACACCTAGAGTTACTAACATTTTTTCTAACAAATAGAGTATTTGCGAACCGTTACTTTTAAAAATATAATACCTGGCAAAAAATGGAAAACAATAATGTACGTGGTTAAATTAAAATATACATTTATATATATTGTCTCCACTAAAAAAAATTACCACTGTACCCTTGGCCACAAAACCCGAATATCATTAGATCTATTTTGATAAAAAAACTAAAAGACGAGATTTTTTTAACCATTTTCATTACCAGAACCCCTGATTCATGTATGGTCTCATCGTACTTTTTTCAAAATAATGTTTTTATTAATGTATGGTTCTAATCTTTACAAGCAAACTTGACAAGGGGACATACGAGTACTCGATATAAAATTTTAAAAGTAAGTTTTGACGTCTCCTAGGCGGGCCATCAGGGGAGACAAGTCCGAGATCGCTTTGGCAGTTGTTTACAATCAGGCATACCCTTGCCAGTTGCCACTCTTTTACCCATGGAGGTTTGAGAGAAGGAAAACGATCGCTATAGAAAATAGTGTCCCAGAAATATGGATAAAATAAGTGAGGCTCTGCGATCGCTAAGTTGTCGCATTAAAAGCGGGCTGTTGTGCGCTAATTTGAAATGACCAATGCCGCGAAGATTTGTACATTATTCAACTAACTTCATCTACAAATTTTCAGGGACAGGCGGGCTAATGCTTTAGCACGTAGCTATCGTTCTCCTTCTCTCTAACCTCCATGCTTTTACCATTAAAAAATGTGACATTATATATTTTTGCAGCCCGTGTGCGTCAGAAGAAGTGTGTTGCCCGTTCGACTCGTTAGTTGCGCTGGAGTCGGACCCCGGCGCCGGCGCAGGAGAAGAAACGACGGACGACGAAAATTTTGATTAATAAACACCTATTTCCAAAAACGCCAGTGTTTTATTTGATTAATAGAAAGTTAAGTCCCTAATGTAAAAAACGGGTAGTCGGGCAATGTTTTGAGGCATTTGAAAACCTCAAGCAGTCAGAAATAACAAAATGAAATCGTGAACGATAGCGATGGCTATAGAAATCCCGCTAGGCGATTGACCCCCTGGTCTATGAAATGACGTAAAACTGCACGTTGAGTGGACGTCCGCTCTGTGCTCTCGCTTTACGCAGCGCAAGCCCTAACACTGAAAATTCACACTAATATTTGTTCCTTATACCTACTAACTGCAACTCCTATCCTTGGACTACTACTAGTTAATAAAGGTCCCCATACTTATTTGTAAGCTACGTCCCCCATTGTACTCGTTTCAACAAAATGCTGGACGGGCTTTCTAAGACGTTGTAGGCATAGCATAAGCGTTCAAACAGCCGTACGTATGTTTTTATTTATTAAAGTATACAAATACAGAACACACGCATTTTTTTTTGTGTCGCGTTAGTATTAAAGTGCAGTAGCTGTATAAGTTTAGAACACATGTTTTAGTGGTCTTTGTTATAGAGGAGTAATGCTTCCATATAATTTCTAATTCGTTAATGGCGCAGGATCGAACACTGCACGCCGGCGGCGCGGCGGCGCAGACAACGGGCTCAGGGCAGACGCAAACTCAGCCGCGAACGACGAAAACTTTTGATTTAAACACTATTCCTGGCAATGGAAGTTTCATTTTTGTCTGTAATAACCTTTGTATTTGTGTATGTTCTCAATACTAAGTCACCCCATTATCCTGGCGGCCAGATCATTCATCAATCTTTTACATCTATATTTTAGTGATAAAAATAGCTTGTCTTTTATTACGAAACATTATTATCAAAATTGGTTTAGTATTTTAGACGTGAAGAAAGTGTAACAGATGGACAGATGTACAGCCAGACAGTAACTTTACTAATTTGGTAACTGGTGTCGATTCTGGCATGATTCTCCAAACTTATGGGTACGGCCAGAGTGCACTCAGATTCAGATTCAGACTCAGATTCCGAAAACAAGCGCGAGAAATAAACAGTGTAGTCGAAGGGTACGGCCAGAGTGCACTCACTTTGGCCGCACCCTAAAACTAAATTAAACAGTCTCTCATTTTATTCTGTAAAGAGAATGACAAGGATACACCGTTGTCAAATTTAAGTTTAGGCTTACAGAATTATGTTATATAGTTAACATGAAAAACTCCAAAGATATTTTTAATCAGTTCCATTTATTAAAACTTCAATAAATTTATCGACAATAAAGAAAAAAATGCAATTCACTTATGTTACAGCTACATTAGCAAATCTCACAAAATAATAACTTGAATTAATAGTGTTTCTAAAAAAACGAAGACTTATGAAAGAAAAATGTCAGCGCCATGCGCCACCTAGCGATCACTCGTTGAACTACGTTGCGAAATGGGTCAGTCACAAGTGGCGCCACCTATTCTTCGAAGTTGCAGAGGCTGCAGTCGGGGCACCGTCGTTTGCGACGCCGACCATGCTTGTCGTCCAACTTGTAGTCGTAGTGGCCTGCTCTTGTCCTGGATCGAGACGCCGACCTGCCAAGGATAAGTGTTTCAAAATAAGTACTTTTCTCAATTAAATAAGTAAATTGTTCGCACCTTAGGAATGGCTCTGCCAAGTCCTTACTCGATGCTTTGGATAGGTTGTTGCGGCGCGCGACTCGCATCATTGGCGGTGTGGAGGTGACAAACAACCTCGAACCTCTACAAGTACGGCGTGATGTGGTGTCATTTAGCACGTTCTATCGTCTATACCCTATACCACATGTTCTGAGGAGTTAAATCAAAAGAAAAGTTTGCTAGAAAAAATTCCACGCGGACCAGCAGGCATCTGACGGGACTCGAACCCGCACCCTTCGCTATCCCGGCGAATGCACTGATCATTATGGTACCGCGGTCCTGACGGCCGTGTCGAATTTTCTCTAGCCTTAGGCTGCAAGGCAGCGCCATCTCTTCGCACTGTAGGTAACACACAATGTCAAATGAAATACCTTAACAAGTATTAAACATTTGAAAGAAGAAATAGCAATTACAGTTATGTTTTTAATTTTTTAAACATTTTAACTGTTAGATCTTTAAATATAAAGAAAAGTTTGCTAGAAAAAACACTATAGTGTTGTTCTTATGTTCTTTCTTGCAGTGAGAGAAAATACTTAAACTGGCAGAGAGGGAATAGGAAAACAGGTTTGGGGCTGAAAGGCCTAAAAGAAGAGTAGAAAACGAGCTGGACAGCCGCATTGCCCAACATAACACCCCAGTACTTAAAGCCGAGAGTGAGCAGGACACCTGCTACTTCACCTGGAGCGAGAGCGGGACAGCCTCGTGGTGTGGTGGCAGTCGAGCTCGTCTCCCACGCCCTGGGCCTTGAACACAATACCCCAGTATTGGTAGGCCAAGTAGATGAGTGTCAGCAAGCCGGCTACCTGAAACAATGCAATAGGGTACTCAGCAGCGGCATTAAGGGGGGAGGGGGGGGGGGGATCTATATGGGGGCGCTTTTTAAGTATAACTGATATACTTTAAGAGAGAAGCGTCATATTATAACTAAAGTTTTCAGTAAATTACAATTCTACAAATTATTCAGTCATTTTATATTTATTACCTGAGTCATAAGTTGCGAGAGTTCTTAAAGAAAACTTGTCTATAAATAGCGATAGGTAATGTATCTATTTTTTACATTTTAGTTAATAAGAGTTGGATTTGAGCTATTGTTATTAACGAATGGTTTTTTGTTTGGGGCGTAAGCTTAAGTGTCGCCGCACATGGGCCACCGACTACAACCACAAAACGCCGCCACCGGCATGTTTCTTGTAGTTTTCATACATTTTATATGGACTCGCCACACACGGTACGCCGGTGGTCGCTACACGCTACAAATCGTCGTTGCTCGCTTCTTGTGGCCCGCACCGGCCGGCCACTTAATGCGCCGATACAAAACGCCGCCCCACCCCTCTCTCCCTTACCTTAGTCGGCCGCTGTCAGCCATTTTAGTAGCCGCTTCTAGCTTCTCGTGGCGGCGTTGTGGTTCTTGTCGTCAGTGGCGTGTGGCCCGTGTTCGGCGACACTAAGCTGATAAAAACCTATCTGCGAACGACATATCTCAATCTAGGTTTAAAAACTTGGCAACTTTGTCATTAAAAATTTAATTGCAGAAAACATCGACTTTGATAACATAATTAAAGACTTCGCCAATAGAAAAGTAAAAGTTTATCAGTATTTTCATTATATCCTATATCTTTTGTTATGGCTTTGAATTGCAGTTAGGTGGCACCACTGAAATATTTTTTAAATTACTTGCTCAGTGGTAATCTACAAGAGTCCGCACTTCCATGAGAGCCCTTGCTCGAATTAGGTGTGCCTTTGTACCAACCATAATACAAAAAAACATACTACCAACTTAAGTAGGAAATGTCAAAATAGTGACATCACAATTAACTTACCAGATATCAATAAAAAAATTATGCTTCGTGGTTAGGTACTCATAAATCTTAAATATTTCATACTTTGGGAGCTAGGTCCACCTGCAGCATTGCTAAAATTACGATTTCACTAAAACGAGATTTAACCACAGAAAAACCTCAAAACGTATGTCCACTTGACATTACATAGGCTAAATCTAGATTTAGTTAAATTGAGATAAGCAAAATTGCTGCAAGTGAACCTAAAAGTAATTAATCTCAATACAGCTCGCCAAGCAATTACATATTCACTCAGTAGAACAAAAATTTCAATATGAAGTAATCTGTCAAAAAATATCCATATTTTCCCTGCTGATGATTTGCTGTGACATTAATTTCATAATTTGCTAAATTTTTGAATCACTATCCTTTTTTCAAATAAGACAGAATCATCAACAGCCTATCTTAGTCCACTGCTGGACATAGGCCTCTCCAAATGCACGCCACTCAGATCGATCTTGGGCTACCCGCATCCAGTTCCTGCCAGCCACCTTACGCAAATCGTCACTCCATCGCGCCTGAGGACGTCCTACACTACGTTTGCCTAGACGCGGTCTCCACTCCAGAACTCGTCTACCCCAACGGTTATCGGTTCTTCGACAAATATGGCCAGCCCACTGCCACTTCAACTTGCTAATCCGGTGGGCTATGTCGATAACTCTGGTTCTCTGTCGGATTACCTCATTTCTGATGCGATCCTTCAGAGAAACGCCGAGCATAGCCCTTTCCATAGCGCGCTGAGCTACTTTGAACCTGTGGACCAGTCGTACCGTCAGTGTCCACGTCTCGGCTCCGTATGTCATCACAGGTAGGAGGCACTGATTGAAGACTTTCGTCTTTAGGCACTGTGAGATCGACGATGTCAGACTTGACGTAACTTCACAAACGCTGCCCAACCTAGCTGAATTCTTCTATTCACCTCGTCCTCGAAGTTGTTTCTACCTAACTGCAATGTCTGCCCGAGGTACACATATTTTTGAACTACTTCGAGAACGGCACCGTGTATTGCAATCGGTTCTGGTAGAACATGTTCATCGAATCTTACCTTGGTTTTATCCAAGTTTATCCGTAGGCCGATGCGTATAGAAGAGTCAGCCAGGTCATTCAGCATCTGTTGATGCCACGTCCTTTCCAGTTCAGCGTCTTGAACATATCCTCCATTGCATTAGTGAACAATTTCGGGGAAATAACGTCCCCTTGTCTCACTCCACAATGCAACGGTATGGGACTTGTTTGCTGATTCTGTACTTGGACAGACATGGTGGCGGCTTCGTAGAGACATCTAATCACTTCGATTTATCGCCAGTCGACTTGGCAACGCTGCAGGGACTCCAGAACAGACCAGATTTCAATCGAGTCAAAGGCCTTCTCATAGTCCACAAATGCTAGGCACAGGGGCTGATTGTACTCTTCAGTCTTCTGTATAATCTGCCGCACTGTGTGAATGTGGTCTATGGTGCCGTATCCGCTCCGAAACCCAGCCTGTTCCGGTGGTTGGAAGTCATCAAGTCTTCGCGCAAGACGGTTCGCGATCACTCTTGAGAACAGATTATAGACGTGGCTTAGAAGGGATATGGGTCGATAGTTCTTAAGGTCTTGTCCCCCTTTTTAAAGAACAAGACAACCACACTCCTACTCCACGCCTCCGGAGTTCTCCCTTCGTACAGGACAGTGTTGAAAAGCTTTTGGAGCTCCCTCAGTACGGGTTTACCTCCAGCCTTCAAGAGTTCTGTTGAAACACCAACCTCTCCAGGGGCTTTTCCATTTTTAAGCTGTCCAAGAGCAATCTCGATTTCGCCAATACTGACTTCTGGCAGTCTTCGGTGAAGTGGCGTGGTAACGATATATCATCGAACATATCCTCCACTTCGTCGTCCGAGTGTGTCGAGGTCGGTGCGTACACTTGCACCACCTTGAGGCTATACCTCTCGGTAAGCTTTATAATAAGGTACACTACCCTGTTCGACACGCTGGACATTTCCACAAAGTTATCGGCAAGGGACTTATTCACCAAAAACCCCACGCCACCTTGGGACTGTTGGTCTCCTACGCGGAAGTACATTATGTGGTCCGATTCGAGCGTTATGGTGTCCTCCCCCTCTCTTCGGACTTCACTTAACCCTAAAATGTGCCATCTAATCTTCCCAAGTTCTACCTCGAGTTGCGCCAGATGCGAGTCAAGCCGTAGCGTGCGTCCATTGTACGTCGCCAGGGTCAGTCTATTGTGGTGGCCTCCCGTAGCCCGGAGACTCTTTGCACCCCCCGCCCCGCCGTTACCGTGGTCGCCACCATGACCAGGAATAGCGGGCTGCCGGGAACTTGTTTGTGTGCATTCAAGGTATTGCCCATAATCGCCACGCTGGGCAGGCGGGTTGGCGATCGCAGAACGTAGGTTATTTCATTGATGACGCTGCTGCCCGTCACCAATGAGATTTTCCTCCCCTACATCGTTGGATGGTTATACCGCCATCGGTCGGTTTGCCAGAGCCTCGTCTGTTGGTCAACAGGGTGCACCACGTGAAGGTGAGGTTGGCTTGGGTTCTTGCAGGTGTATTAAGATCCCCTTACACCCCTAATAAAGAAATAGACCCCAATAAAGAAAAAAAAAAAGAATACAACAGTAAATAATACAATATAGATGATTGATTGCTCACTCACTGATTGTAATTATTACAACAATCAACAAGTGAAGAAATCAAAAGATCAAGTGATGCCTCAGTATAAACAATTATTATGAGATGACATACTAATATCTCCGCGTTAACTTTTGTTCTTTCAGAATGCCACAGGAACATGTCATTTTTCCAGGATAAGAAGTATCCTAACTCTCAATCTAGGTCATTGAGTATATATGCGTACTACATTTCATCCAAATCCGGCCAGTAATTTTTCCAAGATTTAACTTCACTTGGCTATTTGTGTTTCTTAATTGACATTAGATTACAATAATATTTTTTTTTATTCATGCCAAAAAACATATAGGTAAGGTACAAAATATTTACAGCTGTTCAATTTATGATACAAAGATTAAACTTGACAATTCGTGTTTGTTAATTGTAAACTTTACATCAGTCTGTTCTTTTCATTCCATATAAAGCATGATAAAGACAACCTGTTGTTAAGTTCACAAATAGCAAATACGAATAGCCAAGTAAAGTGCCGGCTCAACAAACAAAAACTTTCATATTTCTCATATTAGTAGGATGAAAAATACACGAAAATTAGACTTTGATTACATTTCAAAATAATCAAAGATAATTTACATACAGCAGTGACATGAATATGATCAATTTGCTATAGTTGCTATAGTAAATTCTTTAACGTCCACAATTAAGATCCATTAGATAAGCTAAAATCTGACTAATATACTTACAAACTAATTTGTATCCATTACAGTTTGGTTAATTATACCTATCCGTAATAAAAACTATTAACGAATTTAGTTTCGCGTTAGTAAGGTAATGGCCGGGTTAATGATTCAATCGTATAGCAGGTATAGGTAAATATTTGTCACCGATTTATTTTCCATTTAATCTGGAATACTGAAGAAAGGTAAGTTGTAACGATATGTCCCTGTAAGCTTTTAATTATTGTATCATCATCATCATCAATAAAAAATATGCATGAATTAAGTATTTACAGAAATTTATAAGTGGCTGAAAAAAGTAACTTTCCCACAAATTATGGCAAAGAATTTTTCTTTTACGTCTTTTTTTCATGAACTCAACGAACATTTGTTGCCCGAAATTTTTTAAAAAGCGCACTCTATGGATGTAAAATTTCTCAGATTACGTTGTATTGTAATTAACATGAAGTTTCAGAAAAAGAGAAGACATTTTATAAAAGAATACTAAGTCTATCTAATTAAATCGGATTTTGCACTAAACCCGTACTAAAGTTCGCCGTGTGCGTTGCTGCACCTAATCACACGAGTTCTATTTTTTTCGGGGACAACCCCGTAATTTTCTCCAGTCCGGTCTCTCAGTTTCCTCGGTCTTACTTATTGTACAGCTACTTTTAATGCCTCATGTGCATTACTCAATGATATTGTAAGCGAAGCAAAGCAGAATATGTTTTGCCAGGTAAAAAAGTCCACGGACAAAAGTACCTCGTTTGCGCATGCCATGAATTGGAGAAAATATAAAGCGCGTCAAAGTTTGGGATTGGTGACTTTTAATGTCACTTCTAAGGAGAATTGGTACTGTACATACCAAGACGTGACGTCAACACCATTCCAATCAATACATCTTTATATCTTTGTAATGTTTTGATTATGTAATAAAATACGTGTCCAATACTTTTCGATAATCTACCTGATACACGAATAAAACAAAATTAGTCATTCAATTTAGATGCCCAAACGATTAAAGAAAAAGGATAAGAAACCAACCGCGATGTTGAGCTGCCTGGTGCGCACGAAGTCCACCATGGAGTCGACGAGGGCGTCCATGCTGCCAGCGTACCGCCTGTACGCGGCCTTCTGTCGGGAGACCACGCTACACGGCGTCAAACATACTGTCGAGCCAAGGGTCCACTACTGCGAAAGGTTTCACCACCATTATTAATCTATTGATGTCCCCATTGCTGGGGCACAAGTGTTCCCTCTAAATGGAACAGGGATACTACGCTGTTATCCACTACGCGATCCCAGCCCCGTCCAGTGCGGTTGGTGGATGCTACCGACTGCAGATGCAGCCGGAACCAACGGCTTAACGTGCATTTTGCAACACGGAGGAGCTCGAGATGATAAATTTTGTCCAGTTTACAGCCTGTACGACGCCTTCTGTCGGGAGACAACGCTGCATGACGTCAAATATACTGTAGCCAAGGGTCCACTTCTTCGAAAGGTTTCATCAACGTTATCAACCTATTGGTGCCCTAATAGCAATGGTTCCTTGGAACTAGTTACATGGAACTACTGGAAATAAAGGATCACCTGTACGCGGCCTCCCGTCGGAAGATCGTGCTTCAATAGACTGTACTGTCGAGTCCAGGGTCCACTATTATGTAAGGTGATTACTTCATTAACCTATTGAAGTCCCCACTGCAGGGGAATAGGTCTTCCCTATTGTTAGAATAGGGAGATTAGGTTATGACCCACCACACGAGCACAACGGGGCCCAGTGCGATTGGTGGGTGCTAACGACTGCAGATGCAGCCGGGACCAACGGCTAAACGTGTATTTTGAAACACGCGGAGCTCCAGTGCAAGCCTACCAGTTCTACGAGATATTTTGTCGGTAGACCACAGTATAAAGCGTTAAGTATACTGTCGAGCCCAGGGTGGACTACTGCGAACAGTGATCATCATCAGCATCAACCTATTTATGTCCCCATTGCTGGGGCATAGGTCTTCTTCTTTATTAATGAAATAGAGAGATTATGGCGTGACCAATCACGCGACTCTGGTGCGATTGGTGGGTGCTAACGACTGCAGATGCAGCCGGGACCAAAGCATGGAGAAACTCGAGATATAAAATATCGTTTTCTTGAGGCGGATGATGCTGGCTTGCTGTGCTACTGCTGATGATGCTTGACTTGATGAGAAAGGGCAAGAAAGTGTTCCACGAACGGCAGCGTGACACATCATTGGTATTGTGGATATCCATTGGCGACGGTGTCCACGCAACATCAGGTGGCCTCTCTGTTCATCTACTTTCGAAGTTAAGCAACTTTTGCAACTGTTGGTTATGCGATAGGATATCTAAAAATTCCTTGTGCTTCATCGGAAGACAAGTTTGCAGTTACTTCTTCACGTTCCCTCGTTCTGAGGTAGGAGAAATAAAAACATACGAGTGCACCAGCTGAAAAATTCTCCATCATTCCTCGACAGGTTTAATCTGTTGTGGGTCCAGACGACTTGTCACTATAGATTCCTAACAACATCACAATACCAGTGCCTGGTCTCTTTCCTGTCTATTTGCATCTAAACCCTCGATACAAGCCAGCGAGTTCACTATCAGTTTATAAACTCGCCCCGTATCGGCCTTCTTACAATCTGCTAGTTGACTATCCGATATAGCTCGCTAGCTTTTAAAATTGGCCGCTAGCAGCTCGTAAACTAGCCCCGAGTCATCGTGGCTTAAGGTGGACTAAGCTGACACCCCTAATTAAAAATGTAGGGTACTAGGAAATATAGAATACATTATGTTTTGAAACATACCTGATCAATATCAATCTCACAAATCGTGATAGTGTCAATTACACAAAAGAAAAAAAACTTGATAATTTTCAAAACACTCGTTAATTTTGCGGAGCTGATACAAAAATTCACATCTTGTATGACGTTATTTTCCAAAGTACAAATCTGACAGCTGACAGTTATGGCAGCTTTTGAAATTCTTTTTGCAAATTTTGCGCTGATTTGAGTACTTACCTAATGAGGTTGCATTACGAGACCAGAAGAACACTACGATAGGAGCCTAAGCGGAGATTTTGGGATTAACTCGAGCGTGGCAAAATAACATAATGGGGGGAATCTTGCAACTTGTGAAGTTCTCCTACCATACCTGAGCTCTATAGAACCTAAATAGGGGTCAAACGTCTAGGCACAGTATTGTTTAATAAGTAGGACAGCGAAATCAACAAACGGCCATGACTTTTCTCGTCCTTCCAAGTTGTCAGTCTTTTAAATAGGTATGTATGGTTCAACTCTGTCATATCACACTAAACATGACGGAGATGATGATAAGAATGGCTAGTCGCGGCCTGGCAGCAATCGCTGTTGCAGATCTAGTGCGCGAGTGCTCATAGCAAACTATACGTTAGTTTGCCGTAACGACCAGGCCTGGTATGCGGCTAGTTGGCCGCTTCGGTCAAGAGCGCGATATTTCTATGGTTTCTTTAGTAAATCTAGTCGTTGCGGTGGTCTAGCGCGCGAGGTGCCTTAGCCGCTGTTCATAGCAGCATTGTTTTCCATAATATTCTTAGAAATAGATTTTTTTAATACTGAAAGTGGTCTAAAATGTTGTCTGAATGCAGGAGCGACGGTTTTCCTAATCGACCTACAACTACAACAGCTTCCATATCCTATGTCCTTTTTTATTTGAAGGGAACGCTGTGAATGCTGTCTCCCCTCCTGGCCGCGCCGCGTTGCTCTATGTAATAATAAAACGAGATAAATACTAGAAGTTTTTACTTTTTAGTTCATTTTTTTAACGGCAGTCGTGGGTTTTTAATTATTGTACTTGTTTGCAGAATCCTTTGGTTCGCTTTGACACTGAGCGCGTTCTTCGGTGCAGTTTATTGCGGCATCAGCCAATGGTCCAGGTGGGTATTTAAAAAAAATGGATGATCGTTAAGATCTTTAAAATTTGAAAGAAGAATTTCCCTTAAAAAACACGTCACTATAGGGTACTTAAATGACTTTGGCAGATCCGTAACGTAATCGTATCGTCATCATCTAATTTTGTATGGAACGAGTTGTTGTTACCTCCGGTAGAAGCGTTGCTTAGTTTTCATAGAAACTTTGACGATGCGATGCGAACACGGAACTGTCAAAGTTCGTACCTCTGAATTCAAACCATTCAACTTCCAATCATATTGTATACTAGCGGTCCGCCCTCGCTTCGCTTCGGTGTAGAGCTGAAGTGTAGACTACAGTTTTTGTTCTCAGGCTTGTATTATACACAATGACATTCACCTATGATTCTTCTTATACCTGCATGCAAAGTCTCAGCCCGATCGGTTCGGAAAATTGACAAAGTTTCATACAAACTTTCATTCCCTATTTTATCCCCTTGGGGATAGAATTGATCAAAATCCTTTCTTAGCGGATGCCTACGTCATAACATCTACCTGCATGCCAAATTTCAGCCCGATCAGTCCAGTGGTTTGGGCTGTGCGTTGATAGATCACTATGTCAGTCAGACACTTTTTTTATAACTAATGAAGGCTTTCAGAATAAGGAATACTGAAACAATTTCATATATTAAAAGCAGTTTACAAAGAAAAATATTTTGCGCAACTGTCGTGGAACATTCGGTCTGAACGAAATTTAAAAAAAAATATAACACCCAGCAATCCGCACTGGGCTCGCGTGGCGAGTCATAGCCCAATCTCCTTATTCCATCAAAAATATTCTGTCCATCAATCCGCACTAGGCTCCGTGCAGAATGGGTGTAGTGTGGCATGGGACCAGTGCGCAATAGACCCAGTGCTGATTGGGTCCGGTGTAGATTTGGCCCAGTTTGGATTGGGCACAGTGCGGATTGGGCCCAGTGCAGATTAGGTTCCGTACGGATTGGGTTTCGTGCGGATTGGGTCCAGTGCCCTACGCTATCCATTTCAATGTCTCCCTTTTCCATAAAAAATAGTACCATCCCAACCAATCTGCACTATGGCCGCGTGGTGAGCCATGCTATGATCCGATCTCCCGATTCCGTCAAACTGTTTAACAAAACTTTAAATCAAGTCCACAACCTCGCTGCCGGTGTAGGTACCCACCCAGTTACCTACCTAGCTAATAGGCTCGCTAGGATGTAGCAGAATTTTACGCCTACATAATCTGACAGATAATGGGGTTAAGCGTAAAATTTGAAACCGTCCATAAAAGAACTTCGTCCCAATAAAAACTACACAAGTCTGGTAAGGGGCTGTCCATTAAATAATATTTAAAAAATCATGAAATATCACAAGGCGGGAGGGGGGGTGTAGTAATATATCACGTGTATATTGCATGGTCTTAGGTTACTGTACATTAAATTATGCTCATATATTAGTACAAAAAAGTTTTTCGAATTTCTTTCATAATTTTTATGTCAGTCAAAAACAATCTGCAAACTTTCTGTCTACCTCTAAACGTTATTATTGTAGTCTTTAATTTTCTATTATAAAATTAGATGATACTTAAATACCTGTATTTTATAAATAATAAAAAAATAGGAGTCTTTGCAAAGTGTTATTATATGTCAGTAATTGTGACATTTAATTTAATTATACGGCCTATTTTATAATTTAACAGAATATCTTAAATATTAACATTTCGAAAAAAATAAAGAGAATTACAACTACCTTATGTCTAAAAACGTAAAACTAGAAATAACTAAGAACTTAAATATACAATTTACAAAATATAAAATATATCACCCCCAGCGCCGCCGTCAGGAATGGTGCCCAATAGGCTGGCAGTATTTCCACGTTGGATACGAGGCTAATCCGTTGGCCGAGGTAGCTGCCAGCCTTTTGATCACCGGTCACCTCGGTGAGTCTCTTAGACAATTCCTTAAAGAAGGAACGAGCACTTGGACCCCATGGTCCCATGGTCTCCACACCAAATGGCACAAATATGTAGCTCTCATTGAGAGCTGAATATTTGCGCCGCTTTGAGCACTCGGCGGAGGCCGCCGCCGCGCCTGCAGCCAGGGAGGTACTACTTGTATGGCACGGAGCAAGCGTATCCACGCAAGTTGCGTCCCACACAAGAGGACGACCCTGCCTCCAGGGAATGAACGTCATTCCGTCAGGTCTCTTGCCATCGTCTCGGAAGATGCCGCTGGGCTCTAGGGCCGCTGGCACATTGACTGCGACAAGAGCTCTGCGGATGACGTCATTGATGCAGGCGTGACGGGAGACTCGACCAGCGCTCATTTGGCATGAGAGATCATGGTGTCCCAACTATTATAAAAAATAATATTAAATAATATTTAATAATTATTAAATATTAAAAAAATACACATGCTAGGGGGAGGGGGTAGTCTTAAACCTCACCATGTATCACCAAGAGGTAGGGGTTAAAAAATGCCAAAAAATACATCAAGTGATTAATGGAGGTCTCGGCAGCATAAAACACAAGACGTTGGTGGTCCATGGCTAGACTAGCTATTTAGACTTGCGATGCAACGATTTTTATTTAAAGACATGTGATGTGATCTCTTTGTCAGATATAACTCAGACCCCGTGGTGGTGGCGATGCAGCGCGACTACCGGCGATGGTGGAGCGCCTTCCCCGCCATCACGGCATGCTTTATGGACCGCATCGACCCAGAGAGGGCCAGGGGCGTTATCGAGAAGTGAGCTACTTGCAACATTAGATTTTAACGAAGATCTGTTTTCATTATATTATCCAATACTAGCTTAAAACAAAAAAAATATATACATGTATACTAGAACAATGAACCTAAAACTAAACACCTTAAAAAATAAAATATAATTTTCAGGTCCGTGATAATACCTAACTAAAATACATTATTAAAAGGAGTCCCTTTAGGCAAGGTTCCGAAGATACTGGCAGCGTTCCCCCTTTGAATAGCTAGACTAATTGTTTGCCCTAGGTAGCGGCCAGCTCTTCGGTCTCCTGTAATGTCGACTAACCTTCTTTTAGACTTTAACAGTGTTTTAGAAGTGACAAGTGAAGATCGAAACAAGCAGACGTCATCATAGTTAATATAAGTTGTATCAAACATATAGTACGGTTCACGCGACAGATGACCACTGCGCAAAAGGCATAGGTCTCCTTGGCGGAACGGGGTGCGGCGCGGACGGAATGCGACAAGACGGAGCGACTCCGTGTTGGTGCGCTTGCGTCGCGTGATGGGCCACTCAGTCGATATTCGTCTATCGTGGTTTTGACGCAGGCGAAACTCAGAGCCATTCTGGAGTGTAAATGAGTATACGATCGCCATTTGTAGACATCTTTCGTGAACCGTCTGTACGGAGGTCGTAGCTAGAGAGCTGGTATCATAGCTCTCCTCAATGTTGCGAGTTCCGCCTTTTTGTAGCGCTTCAGCTATGTTTGATGTGATTTGGCGTAAAAAGACTGCATCGCTGTTGGGCAGAATACACCAAAGTGGCAACAGTATCTTGAGCACTGCTGATAAATTTGATAGTCCTCTTATGTGGAAATTAATCCAGAGGACAAAGTCACTTTTATTTTATAAGTATCTACTAAATATTTTGGATCATGTTGTCCTTATTTGAACATTAAATAAATAAATAAAAATAGCGAGCGAAGATCGTAGAAATCGGACCTCTTTTTTGTTAAGCACCTAGCACACTAGACGGCCACGACTACAAAAAGTTATTGGTCACATTGCCATAATGGCGCGATTACACTAGCCCAGACATGAGTGCCATTGGAATTCGGGTAAACGACTAAGTGTAAATAACAGAGTCGAGTACGCCTGTATTCGGGTAGTTTTTGTTTTGGTTACCCAACACCGTCTGCTAGCCAGTATTCCAGTGTTGCTTCGGGTGTCCGAATTCGAATAATGTCTTTTGTGCACCCGAATACGGGCTAACGACCCAGTGTAATTTCCCATTCCCATCACAGAGGAAGATTGTAAAAAACAGAGTGTGTAGCAAAACGAGTAAAGCTCATAGCTAGTTTGATTCTGCCTCCTTGGTAGTGGCGAATGCCGTTCACCGGTGGTGGACTGCGTTCCTCGCCATTACGGCGTGCTTCATGGACTGTATCGACCCGAAGAGGACCAGGGACATTATCAAGAAGTTAGCCGCTCACAACCTAAGCTTATAGACATTTAATATAGACCTTAGTAGTTAAGTAAGTGACCGGTTAAGTACCACTGTACTTAACCGGTGGTCCCTGGAAGCACACGCAGTGGTCCTCGAAGTTATTCGGAAAATAAGAACGCACGAGTCAATACCTCCAAACAATCAAATTTTAATTCAGGAGTGCAAATTGAACAATTGGTGGTCCGTGGCTAGACTGAAATTTGACAAATGGTCTTCGTTGGTCTTCATTAAAAGGTTAAGACCATTGATGTTGACGTATTACATTCATCCGGAAGGGCCCCAGCAGCATTATCGACAAGTAATCAACTCGCAACAACCTAAGCCTATAGATATTTAATGTAGACGCCTTGATTGGCTTATACAAGGTCATAATCTAAGCAAATGATATGATGATGGTATACGGAGCCATTCGGGCTTTTTTTGAAGTGAAAACTTCCTTAGCGGCGTTGTGCAATTTTTTTTATGGGTAAAAATGTTTAACTCGCTTCCTGACACGTGACCTAATCGAAAATTCGAGGTTGTTGACTTTTAATTTAATGGACGAAACAGTAATATTTTATTTTATCGTAAATGTTATGATAATAAGTCTCTATCTAGGACGTCCAGGTGGCAGCTTTATTGCGAAGAAAATGCATTTTTTTACAATAGATGTCGCTAGGTGCGCTTAAATGTGATTTTTCTAAGAGATAAACTTTTTAATGTAATATAAATTGTCATATTTGTGTACGATAGCGCAATAAATAAATATTGTATGCTACCACATAAATGATAGTACTTTAATACTGATAATTAAAGCAATTCGAGCAAAATTATTCCCTAACCATTCCAAAATATCAAAAATGCACAGCGTTAATATTCAAGTTTTCACTTCTGTCGGCACTCCCAGAGTGCAACCCGTCGTTTTTTTATTTCTTTTGAACTCCGAACGCTGTCTACGGGTCACGAAAGTGATCGACATTCATTGAATATTTTCCTCCGGGATTATTCATCTCGATGTGATTTCTTATCAAGTAGGTTTAATTACCTATCGTTAGGCATCTAGGGGCTGTGTAGTCGGTGGCGACGCAGCGACGTAGAAGGCGGAAGACATTACCAATATTACCGAGAAATTGCTTAATGATCGTATCTTAATATATTCTAAGTGAAGAAGGAAATATATATATCAATGTTGCTTGTGAGATCGCAGCAATAAGAAAAGGTCGTACAAGCAACCATCGTAGCAGGTAAAGTCTGTAGCAAGCTCAGAAATATTTATTTCTGTGGTAGCAAGTAAATATCTTAGCTAGTAGTGTATCAAAACAATGATGATAACAGCAATAGTCTTTCAATTTATTTCGTTGTAAACCTGGATAAGAATAAAGTAAAGTTCAAAATATTAAGCGTTATGCTTTAGGTATGTATATGTAATGCCAACTAGGAAAATATTTTATCATGCTTGGTTCTTGTGGCACCAAACGAAACACGTAAAAGATGGTATACATTTTGGCATTTCCAGCTTTATCGAAGTCGAAAGGGATCAAAAATTCATCATCTCGAGCTCCTCCATGCTTCAAACACGTTTCATCACTCTATACCCAGCTTAACTACTATAAACATAGAATGTTCTGACTGTGATGATGATACTTTTTTTATGATATGTTTATGCAGGCTATCTAGCTGACAGTCCACCTGATAGAAAATGGTCACTGCCGCCCTAGGACACTTGCAACACCAGACATGCGCTGCGGGCTATAAAGGAAAATTTAATTTACCTGCCTTTTGAAGACCGTCATTTAATAGCTAAAAGAGAAAACCACTGGGAGATGTTCATACCAGATCTTAGATTTTATAATTTCATTGTCAACAGCTAAAGAACACAAACTTAAAAACTATATAGCTTAACCTACTTACTTACCTACTTAAATAAATAATTTACAAAAAAAATGTTTCACCCTCAGCGCTGCTATCTTGATAGCAGGTGCCTAATAGGCTGGCAACGCTTAAAAAATTATATTATTTCGAAATCCTCCGTGCTTCGGAAGGCAAGTTAAGTCGTTGGTCGCGGCTGCATTTGCAGTCGTTAGCACCCGCCAATCCGCACTGGGCCCGCGTGATGGGTCACGGCCCAATCTCCCTATTCCTGCTCCAGCAGTGGAGACATTAATAGGCTGATGATGATTGTCAACAGCAACTGGAATGTCACTGAAGAATCCGACCCTGAGAGATACGACTACTACCAGGGTTTCCTGGACCTGATCACGGACGTGTCCTTCCGCACCAACCTGCAGAACTTCTGGAAGTACCAAAACGATGAGTCGGTGAGGGGCATTGACCTGATGGAGCTGGCAATGAGCGTTCATCCTATGAACATGCTTAAAGTTGTAGTTTCCAGCGCTAATGGTGAGGTGAGAACTGTATCATATTTGTAATGAAATGAAACTTTCTTCAGATTGATTTATTGAAAGCGCTTCTGAATTGTCCAATATTTTTTCTACCACCCATTCAGGACATCTTTTAGCTCATGAAAACCACCACTCGCTCCACCAGTTTGTGTAGATAATACTCGCTCAGTCTGTCTGCGCGTGAATTATTGCTCAGGACTGTCACCACGAGCGAGTAGGTACGTAGTAGTAGCTTACAGTACAGCGAAAAAACTATCGGAACTACTCACTCGGTTCTAGTTTCTAGCTCTAATCGCTTCTCGTTCATCGTCAGCGGTGGGACAAGTGGCAAAAGGGACCTACATCTCCTTGGGTTATCCGGGCTAAAGCACCACTAAATGTATGAAAACTAAAAGAAATATGCCAGTGGCGGCGTTTTGTGGTTGTGGTCGGTGGCCCGTGTGCGGCGACACTTACCATTAGGCGGGCTACATGCTTGATTGAGACCCTATAAAACATAAAAAAGTGTTTTATCAAGAGTTTGTTGTTCACAGAATATGTACTGGACTCCCGTGATGACCGAGGTGGGGATTTGTCTTGCGTTCAACTCGCTGTACGCCAAATATCAGTACATCGAGGAGGATGATTTGTGGAAGTCGCCACACTTACAGCAATTCCACTATCTCAGCGGGCAGTGCTACATCAGAGTCATATCGCTGAGTAAATCAGTTAGGGTAAGGCAGTTCTCCGACCGCCCCGGCGAGAAAGCGACTCACTATCGGCTATTTTCTCGCTCATGAAACGTACAATAGATAGATTCCGGGTAAATAAAAGAGATGTGGTGGAGCGAGATCTGGCCAGTAGTTAGCGATCAACTATTATAATATTGTTACGTGTAGGGATGGGGTTTGAAATTATATGCCAGTTCTTCATTCACCACATAGTTAACACACAATGCTAATCACAATACACTTCACTAAACACTGTACTTCACTATAAAAGTCTTCAAACAATCGCACTTGTACACTTTACTTGCACTTTGGTCGCCTTTGTATTCGTTCCGAAATCACTGCTGAAACTCAACTGTCCGCTGCGCGGCGCCACCGATCGCGCTTATATGCGCCAATCGACGCATTCTAGAAAAGTCCAGTTAAATTGAGAGTTAACTAGCACCTGCGAGTGCGTAGTACCTACTTTTACGTAGGTTACCAGCATAAGTTGTTAATAATTGCAGATGTCGTTGCACTTTCTCCCTTACGCCGCATTGCATAAGCGAACATGGAGCACCCATTGCGAACATTCACGTCGCGACCCGCGGTGTTCTGGTAAAATCTCTTGGCGACCTCCGTGGCCGAGTGGTTTGTACGCCGGGATTCATGGTGTCGCCGACTCGAGAGGTCCCGGGTTCGAATCCCGGTGGGGGCAGATGTTTGTGTGATGAATACGTGCATTTGTACTCCAGTCATAGATGTTTAATATGTATTTCTATATATATGTACAGTATATGTATTCTATCCGTTACTCTAGTATCCCATAACACAAGCCTTATAGTGCTTACTTTGGGGTTAGGCTAATTGGTGTGTGTGTTGGAAATATTTATTTATATATCTGTCTCCGGTATTTTCGCGGTTTTGTTTTGACAGCGTATGTGGCAATATGTATATACACCTCTTCTGTTTACATGGAATGTATCCATCTTCAACTATTGTAGGTTTCTTGAGCGAGAAAATAGTCGATAGTTAGTCGCTTCCTCGCCGGCGCACAGCGGGCTGAAAATCTCGATTCATAGACATTGAAATTATTTTTTTAAAAGTGCCGCCTTTTTTCTTGCTTACAATTGAGATTACCAAGTATATGCTTGATATAATTAATCTTTTAAGTTTATAATTGTAAACAGCGATTTTTTTTTGCAAATATTGTATGGAGTCTGCATAATAAACTAGGGATCTGGTTGAGTTACTTAGTTTTCTAAAATTTCCTTATATACTGCGCCACTTCGTACTTGTTAACATTTGTTATTTTATTGAACGCATATTCAAAGTAGGTACCGTAACCATTTAAGTTTATCTCATAATTATTTTGTACGTGCAAATTAACCGCTTGACCTAAACTTAACCAATGGCTTGTGCAGTACTTCATCCACTCTCCGTACGAGATACCGACTGCGATTTCAAACCCTACCGGAGAAGTGTCACCAGGCGATGAACTCGTCATAGACTTCAAGGTACGGAAATTACTTCTTTTTAAAATAGATGCCCTAGCAAAAGATTTTAATCCACGAGCTGTTAGGTGTCTGTAAAGGAGATTGCTCAAATTGGCCCAAATGCACAAAAAATATTGACAAATACGGTAATTCTTGGCGTTATTTATAATTTAATTTACACTCATTAGATTTCAACGGACACCTTTGTTTAATATATTCATTTTAAAAAGGACTTTTAATTTTATTGGTTTGGAAAACATACGAATCATTTTTAATGGCTATGGGTGTAATAACATTCAGCCAAAGACTGATCGAAGTTGTTTATATAACATAAAAACAAATCTATTCTGTAAAGATCGATAAAATAAAACATTTTTTTTATTACACTGTGGTATTACGATCCACAGCTGTATTATCATTTTCACTATGTATGCAAATGTGCTAAGACAATTATTAAGTAAGCGACATCATAAAGTCTATTGCCATAAATTTTTCGGCAAACACCTCCATAAACACATTATAATCTGTATATATGTTAGACTTTAAGGTATCTATCTATGGGCCTAGGTTGCCTGACCATAAATTAATAAATAAATAAAATTATAAGGGGCGATACACTAAAAATCTAAAATATGGTTATAAACTTAACAAAAATAATGAAGCTACTGAAGAAATGGCTGTATAACCCTAATCTCTTAGCTTTCTTTGGTTTACGAGAGTTTAAAAATTCTCTCTAATCTGTGGCTCATTCACAATCATCCAACAATCATCACACAGTTTCTGTCACAGAATACCATACTATAACCGGAAATGCATAGATGACACCTGATTTTAAAAGTTAATCTACATGCTCTATATACCGGAATCTAATAGGTACATAATTTCGGTACTTGGCTTGATTTTCCTAGTTTACTATATACCTAACTTATTTGTTTTTTATTATTTGAATACCTATGTACCTATTTGCAAATATAACCTCAAAATCGTTCAGAGTATATGGTTTATAGAAGTTCTCAGGGGTGTCCGTCAATAACATTCGTTTCTACAGTAATTTATATATAATTTCGAATCTAGGAAACATTATTTCATGATTATTGGTCTTAAGGCCAAACATGTATGGAAGTTGAGCAATCTCCTTTCTTCCTAGGTCTACAGACAGCATAATGAAAGAAAACTGAAAACATCCTTTTTTTAATAGCTAAACTGCGCAAAGATGTGAAGTATAGTGTCTAGTTTTAAAGAAAGTGAGCTGTCTTCTTGAAGGACATGAACTATCTTCTGGAAGGACATGAACTGTCTTCTGAAAGGACTTGAACTGTCTTCTGGAAGTACATGAACTGTCTTCTTGAAGGACATGAACTGTCTTCTGGGAAGACATGAACAGCTTTCTGGAAGTACATGAACTGCCTTCGGGAAGTACATGAACTGTCTTCTTGAAGGACGTGAATTGTCTTCTGGAAGGCCATGAACTTGAAAGAATGTATTGATGGAAGGACGAGAACTGTCTTCTTCTGTCTTGGTGAACCCTCCAGTAGCTCCCATTTGACCAAAAGTCTTTGATGAAAAAAAAATTTTGTTGCCCTAAACGTTCGACCCTATGTAAATTGCTCAGGTATATGGTACTCCCAGTACTTCCCAAAGTGCAAGCATGCCCCCCTATTGTTATTCTCCCGCCGCGAGTAAATCTTAAAATCCCGGCTTGGGCTCCCCTACCACAGAACACAGAAAGAGGTTAGAAGGGTGCTCATAGACCGTTTGCACGGGAACCCATGACGCCACCTAATAGATAATATAAACCAATCAAACGACGCGACATCAAACAATCCTACCAATCAGCGCTCACACCCGAGAGCCACGAGGCAATCAGAACCAAGTTTTGGTCAAATTATGAGCATTTGCTCACATATAGCTGTGGCGCGCCCCGACCTCAAGGCCCTTCTAATCTCTTTCTGTGTTATATGGATATCGCACGTCTTCAGCTACATTGCTGACTGAACACAATAAGGCAGCATTTTAAGCTACTTTGTTTGAAGAGCTCAACGATATTTTTTGTTTTCTTTTTTATAAAGGAGGTGGAAATTCTAGCGTCCGAGGCCCTACGACAACTAAGACCAGATCAGCGACGCTGCCGCTATTCAGACGAATGGATCAGCAATTCAATCCGGGTAATGAGGTGCTCAAAGGCATAAATCAGGGGTCCTTTAAAAGAGGCGTGAAGAAGAATTTCTGAAGGCTGGCAAGGTGAGAATGGTTGATGTGGCAGTTCAAAACTGCTGCACCAGCTATCTTCTCGTCTGGACTTTACTACCACTTAACATCAGGTAGGGTAGAGTCATTGGCCTTTGGCCTACCTAGCTATGGATTTGGAAAAGTGTGAACCTGGCATGTTCACACTTTTCCAAATCCAGCGCTATAATCTAGTCCAGTAGTACTGAACTGGATTATACCGTTCACATTTAAAAGACTATTAAAAGCTATTGAACTGGTGAGACTATAGTGTCAATGGTCACAAAAAAAGCAGTGCGTACATTTTTACTGTCAAACATTCAATCTGGTACTGGAATGGCAGACTATACTATTTTAAAAACCGGCGAAGTGCGTGTCGTGCTACGCGCAGTGTTGGATTCCGTAGTTGTCTCGTCGTCACCACAATATATTTTTGGAAAGAGACAATATTATTAAGCAATTACTTCGTCTTAGTCATTTTTAATGTTTTGTTCTAAGGAATTTTAATTAGGTCAAAAATTTTCTAATACATCAGTGGAACGACTATCGATCGGATAGACAATGAAAAAATAAATTCATGCCCAGGTTACATATAGGGGACCTACCCTAAAAAATATTCTTCCAAATTTTATTCTACCATTTTGTCACCATGATTGATGGGCATATACCCTCAAAACTACAGCTTTCTAGTGGTAACAGTCTCCAAGCAAAACCGGGTACGGACAGTCAGACGGACATGACGAAACTATAAGGGTTCCTTGTCAGGACTGTGGAATCTTAAAAAAGTAGACTGTGAATCCTGTTACTTGATTGGCAATTTTCCAGTGCCGGTTCACACTATTATATATTAATCGGTCAATAAAAAAAAATGCCGGATGTTTAAATCTAAAGAAAGAAAGGTCAGTGTATCCGCCCGGGTAGCGAAGGGTTCGAAAACCGTTTGCAGCCAGGTCCGCATGGATTTTTTTCTAGTACAATTTTCTTTAGATATAAGTTGTTCATTACTATTCTTATGCTGTGCCAGGCTTACAGTTTCGGTCTGTGTCAAATGCACTGCCGCAACCGGATGGCACTGATGTTCTGCGGCTGCCGGCCCTACTTCTACGCCAAAGGAGGTAAGGTTCTACATTTCCTTCATTCCATCTTCACCATTCCTTCTAAGGACTAATCATGCTAGCCTGCGTTTAATTTAAAACCTTTGCTTGCCATAAAAAAAATTAAAACTTAACACGAACGAACAAACATTTTGACGTATCATTTCTCTGACCTTACTGTTTCTGCTTATTTGTGGAAGGGGGTTGTAGTGATTGTAGAAATTATGAATCTTTTGAAATGATCGGCCATCGGATAATTGGCCAAAAATTAACTATCTCGAGCCCAAGGGCGGATCCGGGGGGGGGGGGGGGGGGCATGCCCCCCCCTGGGCTGGGTCCATCTGTACCCACTTCACAATCTGTACTTCCAATCTGTACCCACAGTGACTTGATCACGACTATATGACCCCCCCTGGCGCCAAAGCTGGATCCGCCCTTGCTCGAGCCTCTCCCTGCTTTGGAAGGCACGTTAAGCCGTTTGATCCCGGCTGCATCAGCAGTTGTAATCACCCATCAATCAACACTGAACCCGCGTGGTGCGGCATGGTCCACTTTCCCTATTACCTCTGTAGGACATATGCAAACTAACTTCTGACAAGCTTGACCCTATACAAATTGTGCAAAAGCACCTTTAAAGTGGCTAAAGTGTCAGCTTGGCTACTGTATCAAGTGATCCATTGCCAGAGCCGATTTTAGAGGTGTTGAGGCTCTGGAGCAACGAAGGAGTTGAATTTGGGCGTGTTAGATTTTAAAATACGCCCAAGTTAACTTGGGCGTATTTTAAAATCTAACACGCCCAAATAATAAATAATATTTCTAACATTCACACCAAAGCCTCGCGTTATGGGTTACTAGGGTAACGGGTATAATACATATACTCCCGGTTTGAACCCGGGACACCTTGAAACCCGGCATACCAACCACTAGGCCACAGAGGTCGTCAAAAAAATAAAATTTTGCTTCACCCCTCTACCCTTGAAATTTAGATATTATTCTACCTTACCTTATGGCTCCTACACCCAGTGCCTTAACCGCAGAAAAGAGCCACAGGCATGGCCACCCGGGTATGCGGGCGTGCCGCGTGGGTTGCTAGCACATTTCAGTGATGCTCAACGGCTTTGTCTAAGTTTTTGCGGTACGTTCCGGCGGCACAGACGCGCGTCATTGTGCCCTGTCCACTGCTCTAGCTATTTAGTTTCCAAATCTGTAGCCAACTGGTTTTGACAGATGGAAATGATAAATCACCGTGCTATTTAGTGATCCACTATTGCTTTATAATAACGCCACCACCACGATGCTTGTTCTGAAAAGCATCGATGGATATGACATCATTCTCTTTAGTTACACACAGAACCTGAATGTTACCGCGTGTAATTAAAACCCAGTGACCTTTTATTTATAGAAGGGCATTGTTATCAAACCAATCAATAAAACCATTTAAACTTAAGAAGAAATAACGAATGAAAATCTTTAGAAAAAGGAAAAACGTTACGTATGCTCTTATTTTTCAAATGTTTGAAGTAAGAACCTCTTTATAAATTTTGATCTCTGGTTAGTATGACAAGTTTAAATAAAAACTAAAACATCTTTCAATCGAAACGACAACACCGAACCGCTGTCAATGTGAAAGCTTACATAAAATTTTGTACAATATTTCACAAAACAGTTAACAGTGTATCGTTCTTCAATAAAAAATCCTATAGCTACGTTGTCAGTGCAAAGTTAAATAGTGTCCATTTTCCTTGACTAACGTGTTTCTTGCCGTATTTCGCACAAGATGGCGAGCCGTGCGACGCTCACGGCATGGCGTGCGTCGGCAGGAACGTCGAGATTCTCATCAATCTGCCGCGGAACCTCGCCAAGTGCTCGTGCCCTCCTCAGTGCACCGAGCACAACTTCTATTCTCATACCAAGAAGGTCGTTAATCGGTAAGCCACTTCAATAAACATACCTAGTTAGCTTTAGTCTGTGCCCCCAGCGAGAGGACAGAGAACGAAGGACCACAAGGCATATGGTCCTTTCCACAGACTTCTACTTTTTCTTTTTTTATGGCATGCACGGTTTTTCCACAGACTTGTAAGAAAGGTGGTCCTTTCGCTTCTACATTGTACGTCTAGTCTGTGAGGCATGTAACGCAGGGGCGTATTTTAAAATCAAATCAAAATATATGTCTGTAACGAATGCGGGTAAAACTATACTTCCTGGGCCCAAGAGGTGATACTTGATTTCTGATGTGCAACATCTTTCCTCTCGCTTTTCTATAATTTGTGGCAGTGATTTCGTGAAATGGGACGGAAGTGTGTCACAGAAAGTCGCGAAAGCGCTATTTGATTTGATTTTAGAATATAATGTTCAAATGGCTTATTCCTTTTGTAGTAGGTTTTATGTCTTTTTTGACGTGACAACGTCTTAAATTAGGTTGCGGCTGGGAGTCACTTATGAAAAAGTGTAACGCTCGGTAACGTTACGATGAGTCTCTCGTGTTAAGTTTAAGTTTACATGTACAATGTTTTAGTAAACAAAATATATTTCTATAGTTAAAATTTGTGCAATTCTTATTTTCATTCAATTCCTTGTTCCTATTGTGCAATTTAATTATATTCATATCAATAAATATTCTACCGAGAAAAAGACGTTGTCACGTAAAATCTTCGCCCGTAAAACCGACTTTACAGGCAACCATTTTTTTACTAATATAAGGTGAGGTTTCAAATGTTACACATCATACGCGACTACTGAAGCCTCACTAGTTTTTTTTTTAAAGAAAAGGTCTCTCTTTACTGAGTTTTTTTTCTGGCGCTTCGCCGGCATCTGCCGTGGCACGCTCGCTTCGCTCGCGCGTTATAGTCACAACACTAATCTAACCTAGTGTAAAGTATCACCGCTTGAGCCCTGGAAGTACAATTAAGCCCGAATGCGTGTAACGTTTACATGACTTCTGACATCCGTTTTGGCCTTAGTCGCCTGAACGCCGATTGTCTATTGACTACGATGTAAGTTAAGAACTTAACACCATAAAATTCTTCCTATTATTCAATGTGTTAATTTAACGGAACCTACATAAATAATACCCTGACCTCTTTCTTGAACATCAAGAATAATTAAACAATGTTTAACGCCAACATGAATGACTCGGAGTCCTCTACGGACGACAGCCAGATGTCCGCTTTGAGGATCAACATGATGCCGCCCAAGTTCAGGCTGAGGAGGGACGTGATCTTCACCCTGGAGGATCTGTTCGGTTGGTGGAGAGCATGGCGTGTTATGCTGCGTTTTCACTTAAGCTTTGAGCAGTCCTGTAGGCCTATTCGCTAACTGGTTGTGACAGATGAACGTGATAATTTCGAGCTATTTAGTGTTCCACTGCTGCTTTATTATAACGCCAATAAGATACTTGTTCTGAAAATCATCGATGGATATACAATTTTATCTTTAGTTACACACTGTAAATGTCAAAAAAGTTTGCAAATAGGCCGGCTGATCGAGCAAACATTATTGTTCGGTAAATGGAAACATCAGAGCGAGTGAACGAGTTCGTACAGCGTTGTTTGGTTGGTCTCAGGAAGGAAACGAATACTATCTTGCTCAGTCATCGACGGAGATAACGCAATATTGTTTTGATTATACCATTTACCTAATTTTTGGACCTGTTCTGAGCACTAGTTCGAAATGCAGCATTAACATTATATGTTGCATTATGTGGCCTCATTTAAGGCATACATTTTTTTAAACGGCCTCTTTGTTTGTGTTTTCCGTGAGTGCTTAAATTAGTTTCCTTTTGCAACATACACCGATTTTATTTTGAAATGCAATTTGGTACATATATTTCCCAGTGAATTTACATACATACAGATACAATCGCGTGTGTGTGTGTGTGTGCGTGTGTGTGGTATCTAGTATTGTTGATCGAAGTTTCTATTGCACACATTCCTGTGAATGTTTAAATAAATAAGGTAAGATTTATTGTTTTTATTTTATTTTTGATTTAAGTATTCGTGAGTCTGCCTATTTGTTGATCGTGTTTTAAGTGTTTAATATTATCTACCTATAATGTGTTTATTGTTTAACTGATAAGGTAATTTATTTTGTAATTAACTTGATTATGTATTCTGATTCTGAATTATGTATAATAATATCCCACAAAATTCAACATCATCGACAGAGCTCATTCAAAATTGTCCCAATACATGGGAAATATGCAGTATAGACAGAGTCTCATTAGGATAAATCAGGATGAAGGGCTATTCACTATAATCATCACAGTGCCCGTTATGTGCGATTTAGTAGCTGCTAACGACTGCAGTATCTAAGGGTGCTAAAGCACGAAACATTATCAAATTCGAATAGTTGAATTCGATCTAGATATACGTCAAATGTGTACTGATTTTTAGTTCACGTGACGTCCGTTGTGACGCTGCTGTTCAAGTTTCCATGCAAAATTTTACATTCACATTCACTCGCAAACTATACGAATTCAATATTGGTTCGTGCTAAGGGTGCAGATTAATGGCCGAAGCACGAACTTTGACAGCTGCGTAATCATATCGTCATCATCTTTTGCTAAAAAGCTAATTCGTTCGTACGCTTCGCCGAACGTAAGAACAAACTGGCTCTTTCCATACATAATTTGACGCTTACGATACTAAACGAATCTGTCAAAGTTCCTTCTTGGGCTTCAGGAGCATGGGGCAGAGTAGGATCAATTGCTTAACCAGGCTTCATAAACAACTTAGTGTTTATGAAGCCTGGTTGCCTGGTGTTGGAGCGACCGACTGGCCAATTGGTAAACTTGCAAACGTTTGCAATTGAATCCTCTTCATGCGGCGACAAGGAAGCCTGCGCACTAGAATATTCCATACAAAATCGTTAACTGCGCAAGTTTATTGTCTATGCTTTTGCTCAAGAAGTTTGTCGCTACCTATACGATTGATATTATAGGCTGGCATGTTTTCAGCGTCACTTGGCGGCACCACTGCGCTGTTCGTGGGCGGCAGTGTGCTCACCGTTGTTGAGACCTTCATCTTTATAATCAGACACTTAGTACGCGCCGTGTTCCTTCGACAACCTTACATTTTTAACACCATGGTGCAGTTTAAACCGTAACTTAAAGCTTTCAAACTTCAGTCAGATTTGAGTTTTTAGTATCTTTGTTAAATAAATATATGTGTGTAGTTACTTAATAATATTGATGAATTAAAGGTGTGCTTTACTGCATACATTTTACTGTGTTTTACTTTGTCGCCACAAGTCTCCATTAAGGCGCTTTGCAGACGACGGGGCGGGGCGGGCTTTTTGTCCGCGAAGCAATAAAAACCGCGTCTGCCCGTCGATGTCTGCGGCTGCCCTCGCCGCGTACACAAAGCACACGACGGGCAGAGGCAGTCAGTTCAGGACGTTCGTTCTAGTGAATAGTCCATCACTAAAAAGCGCGTGGCGCGGACTGAGCTAGCCGCCCCGCGCCGCCGCCGTCTGGGTTACTGCATATAAACTGGTAGGTATGATCCACGGCGGGCAGTCGCGGATATGCCGCGCCGCCATGCGCCAGTGCCCGCCGGTCACTAGCTGCGCGGTTTTTTTGCCCTCTGTGTGCGTTTGTAGTATAGGATTCACTTTGTGCTATCATTCGCGGCGAAATTGACCGGCCCGCTCCGCCCTGCCGTCTGCAAAGCGCCTAAAACTACTACACTACTTTACATAGAATACTTTACATATAAATATGTTTTCAAAGGGAGTGAACTGGCGGAAGTTGATGAGATTCGAGATCTGGGTATTTTACATGATTCGAAATTAACATATGAGAAACATATAGACCTTATAACTAAAAAGGCTAGAAAATCCTTGGGGTTTGTGATTAGAGTTTGTTCAGAATTCAGAAACATTAAAGTGATGAAAATTTTATACTGTTCTTTGGTGCGAAGTATCCTCGAGTACGGTTCTCAAGTTTGGAACCCCTGTTATAGCGCTCACATTATCCGACTTGAATCTGTTCAGCGAAGATTCTTAAGGTATTTACAATACAAAAGTAGGACTTATGACTCTAGCTACGAGGAAAGGTGTCGTAGACATCACATCCTGCCCCTGAATGAGCGAAGAAAAATAGCAGATGTATTTCTACTGGCAAAAATCGCTCAATATCTCATTGACTCGCCGGACGCACTAACAAAAATAGGTATAAAAATCCCTAACAAAACCGTAAGGCGATTTGTACATTTAGATGTTCCCCAATGTGGTACTAATTACAGACAAAACTCTTTTTTCGTAAGGTCTGCTAAAGAAACTAACAAATTAGTAAGTTTCCCCCAACTTGACTTATTTATAACTAAACCACAAATACTTAAAAATATCTTAGTCAGTTCTTGGTTTGCTGATTCTCAAACTGCCTAGCTTAATTAATGCATGCTTTAAGCGTCGCTTGCTGTTATATCTCAATTATCTCTAGTCTTATTACTTTCCTGTATTTTTCACTTGGCACTGCTTGTATGGTTTCAGCGACGAGCTTTGTATTGTTAGTCATATGCGAAAACGTGTTAATGGTGTCTAGATTTACATTTAGTTATAATTGCTGTTAAAAAAAACACTGTACGTTTTCCGAATAAAATAAAATAAAATAGTTCCGACAGATTTTCTGCGATTCTGTTACATTTTTTGCAAAAAATCGAAATTTTTGTAGAGCGCCTCGTTTACACCCTTAGAAAAGATTTTGACTATTTACAATAGAAGTAAACAGTAGATTTATTCTTCCTATTGTAAGTTAATGTACAATATTTGCAAATACTATTTTACTTTTTTTGTACTCATCATTCTACTGCAGCTAGTTTACGGAAAAAACGATAATATGCACAACTTCAAACGCCTGAATCTCTCAATAATGTTCAATAAATTAGATCATATTAATTACTTTGACATCAGAAATATGTTTTTGTTGTAACATAATGTATTAGAATTTTGATTTTTCATCTCATTAATTATCAAAAAAAACATCTAACCTCCGTGAGTTTTCCCAAAAAAGTTTACAACGTACAGTAAAACGCCGATTATCCGAATTAATTGGGACCGGGGTCGATTCGGATAATCGAAAATTCGGAGAATCGGACATAGACTCGTAATAAAGAAAAACGAACTGTCACACATAGAATAAACCTTATTAAGTTTAACAAACACAGTTCTACAAAACTAAATACAATAATAGAGGTGCATATAATAGTAGCAAAAAAAAAACCGCGCGACGCAAAACTTGTAGTGTCTTGCCTCTAGCTTTCAATCATAATAGTTGGAATATATCTGGATTCCAGCGAGTTCCAACTTGTTACAACCAAACAAAACAAATATAAGTTGGTTTTAATTTTTTTATTTTATGCTTAGATCCGATTCGGATAATAGGAGATTCGGTTAATCAGTGTTCGGATAATCGGCGTTCTACTGTATTTTGATATTGAATTAAATAGAATTACTATCAAAAACTTTCATAAAACTAATCTACCATTATTGAAGTAGTAAAATATAAATACATTTTTATAAATAGTTGATTAATAATTATTTTATAAGACTCGAAACATCACCCGTAAAATGCAATATAGTGTTGCCGATCAATAGTCGACTATCGATGATTAATCGATAGTCTATCGATAGCCAGCCAATCGTATGACAATCGATCGGCTTATCGATAGAATCGATACTATCAATAGTATAGATACTATCGATAGCACAGAAAAAGCCAATATTATCGGATGAGTTAAATACTATCGATAGCATTGTAGTTCGTTACTAATAAACTATCGATAGTATCGATACTGTCGACTTTATTTGCAACCATACTATCGATAGTTTAATAATTTGCAATAGTATTGTTTACAATTTTCAGGTATTATAGTCAATCACAAACTTTAGTCTAAAACAATCGCTAGTATCGATACTATCGATAGTATTGTTGCAGATAAAATCAACACTATAGATAGTATCGATACCATCAATAGTTTGTTATTAACGAACTACAATATTATCGATAGTATCTATAGTATTGCACTCATTCGATAGTATTGCCTTATTCTGAGCTATCGATAGTTTCGATACTATCGGTTGTATCGATTCTATCGATAGGCCTATCGATAGGGTACATGATTTTGGATGTAAATTAATATCGATAGTTCGGCAACACTAATGCAATATATAATAGTGCAAATCTACCTACGCGCCGATCAGTACGGCGGCAGCAGCGCAATTTTGTAAAAGAACTCTTAACACAAGTACTAATATAATTGAAATACTTTATAAGATAACCATACAAAAAAAGCTATCGAAAAATATTAAAACCTGTAATTACAGGTTAGGTATAGGTTTTAATATTTTTCACAGATTATAATCTGTGTCGTTTATAAGAATCTATAGATTGTCTCTTTCGGCCGCCCCAATGCAACTGATTTTTGCAACCAGTTGTCGAGTCAGTTGGGAAAAATGCTCCATCAGGTTAGCAGAGATTAAGTAACAGTTTTATTTGTTTTTACACATTCCTCACTACGCATCCTGGAAAGTCATTGGGGGATTGCAACCTGATTCCGCAAGTGAGGTAGGGTAGAAGGTAGAAAATCGTTTCGTGGTTGAATTCGGAAAACATCGAGAGACCTAAATCCTGTTCCTACTAATATTAAAAGTGTGAAAGTTGGTATGTTTATTATATTTCAATGTTTTTTACTCAACTCCCAAAAATGTACCTAGTTTATGACCTGGATTAAGTAAGACAAAAAATGCTTTTATTCTTGTTCCTACAGATATTTAATATAATCTTAAATTTCACCACGTATCACCAAGGGGGAGGGAGGGGTTAAAAAATCCCAAAAAAAAAATCACGTGATTAATGGACGGCCCCTAAGTAACTTCGTAATCGTCCTAATACTTATTTGGCATGATTCTCTAAACTTAAAACTAAATTTAACATCAGTCTCTCCTTTTCCTTCTGTATATGTAGAGAATGTCAAGGATACACTGTTGTCTAATTTAAGTTTAGTTTTAGAGAACCCTGCCTGAATCGAACAGACATCGCAAATATGCATCCAATTTCTAACTGGTGTCGATTCTGGCATGATTCTCTAAACCTAAACTTAAATTTGACAACAGTGTATCCTTGTCATTCTCTATACAGAATGAAAAGGAGAGACTGTTGTTAAATTTAGTTTTAAGTTTAGAGAATCACGCCAGAATCGGCACCACTGTACAATTGAACAAGAGAGCGCTCAGTTTGTATATTACGCTCATAGTCCATTCACTATCTATAGCGTAGCATAGTACAAAATTAGGTATTGTAAGACTGTATTGCTGACTATACTTTTACCGTGCCTAGCCGGCCTATTCGCTAACTTTTTTGACACTGATGTCGATTGTGGCATGATTCTCTAAACCCAAAACTACATATTACATCAGTCTCTCCTTTTCATTCTGTATAGAGAATGACAAGGATACACTCTTGTCAAATTTAAGTTTTAGCTTTAGAGAATCATGCCGGAATCGACACCATTTAATGTGTATATATATTACTATATTAAGATAAAATTGCATGTCCATCGAAGCTCGGTGATTAACACTTCCATATCTGTCAAAAGCAGTTAGCAAATAGGCCTACAGTTCAGTATACTCATCAGCACTGATCTGCACTCTGATTTGAACCAAATTATTGTTTGTGCTTAAATACGTACCTAATATTACTTTATTTACTATGAAATTTCGATTTGGTAAGTGTGAATCTTCTTGAAGGATACCTTTAATCTTGGTTTATTGATGCGATCGAACGAAACGAAATGCTTCCTCCCTCTCAATTCGTCCCTGTGCTGTCAATGTCAAACTTAGCCCCTCCCTCCCCCAATGTATTTATTTATTTTTCGATTTCGATATTTGCGATTTTCTAACCTTTAACTAAACATTAACACAAACGAACAACCGACAAAATATGTTGATAGCGACTGCCACTTTCTTCATAAACTGTCTATACCATGGCTTTACTTCAGTTTATTTTACGATCTGTATGTTGCATGCAGTTTTGCCGTTCGGTCTCGATGTTGGGATCATCGGTGTTGGTGCTTATTACTTGACGAGACTGAAGAAAGCCCAGCAGAATAATGTGCTCAGTATATTCGGGCCGGAGCCCGGGAGCAAGGAAGGAGAGCTGCATCCCGAAAAAGTGGTTCGATGTATTGCTCACAGAGGCGCTGGCTTGGATGCTCCAGAAAATACTCTGGAGGCCTTTAAATACGTGGGTTCTTTACGATTTGTCATTATTGTTATTAGGATTAGGTAATTATTGTTATAACTTGATTAAAAGCTCAGTTAATAAGATTTAGTTAAGATTAACTCGGACCCCCTTTTTAATAAACGAAAACTAATTTTGGATTATTTCTGTCTCTGTCTCTGTGCATCGAATGACAAATTTGAGTGACATGAACAAAACACGACGTAACTAATGTAAGCTTATTCCTTGTTTATTTATAAGGGTGCTAATGTAAACCAGAATTGTGGGTGCAAACATCTTTTGTTTTTATTTGCGATTTTCCATGATTCTTAATTTAAATTTGAACATTATTCTCTAACGAGAAATAAATGCCTGTGGTAAGTATTTTTTTTGTTCTTTATTGTATTGCATAGATTAGAAATAAAATAAAACATTCTAAAGGATCAAACAGTTTGATTCAAACAACTAGTTTTAATGGGTTAATGCACAAAACTTTATTTATTTATTGACGTTTCGCAGGCTTTTCAGGTCTGCATCGTCAAAATAAAGACAGACCTGAAAAGGCTGCGAAACGTCAAAAAATAAATAAAGTTTTGTGCAGTAACAAAGTTTTGTGCCGTTGAAAACTAGTTTTATTTAATGAGTGATGTGCGTGAAAACCTAAGAAACAAATGCTATTTTTTTTGCATTTGGATAGTTTACAATGCTAGCTTGCACAGTTTGTCAAAAAGTAACATGTTTGTAGCTTTCTTGATGAAATTTTATATTTATGTTGTGATTGACATGCCAGATGAATACCCAAGTGAATTGCCAGCATTAATGCAAAGTTCATTTAAATTTAATATAAATACTACCTCGAATTCCAGTGTGTAGACCGGGACTGCAATTTTGTGGAATTGGATGTGAGGTCTTCGAAAGACGGTCAGTTGGTGTTGCTTCATGACCAGGGCCTGGAACGGTTGGCCGGCTCTAACATCGCAGATGTGCGTGCGATGGATTGGGACGCTATCAAGAGCATCGATGTCGGAGCTACACATCCAAATCGGTGAGTAACTGAATAATTTTTATAATTAATTTGGATTGAGTTACTTGAAACTTTATAATAAAAAATAAAAAAAAATATATTAAATTAATACAAAAAAATAATTATAAAAGTAACTAGTATATTGTTATGTTTGTATTTTCTAAGCATTTAACTGATAGATATTTAAATCTAAAGAAAATTTAACTAGAAAAAATCCACACTGTCCAGCCTGCAGATGGGACTCTAAAAACGAATCCCTATTTCCCTTGGCCATTCCATAACTTGAGAAGGACTTTACCAATTTGTAATCCATCTTTTCTTGAAGTTGTTAAAATGTGTATAGGTTAGGCACAAAGTAAATAATAAAACTTAACTTACTACAACAATTGTCTGCAGATAGGTATTTAGAAGTTTTTGTTATTTTTTGGCCAGGAGAATGTCAGTCATGTTTGCTAGTATATTGTATTTAATTATACACTTCCAGGCATATCTATCGGCCCACTTGTAGTGTTAAGTTTCAACTGTCTGTAGCAAAAGTATAATGTTAAGTTGAGCAATAATAATATTTAATGTTGAAAACACAATAAAGAAATTTTTTTTCTTTAAAACTGTGTAAATACATTTTGCTCAATGGAACATTTATTTTTAGTATGCTGGAGACTATCAAAGCTTACAATGCTAGATGTACTGATATATGTGTCTGGAAGTATATTTGTTTTAATTATGTTGTCTCAGGCATCACTTTAAAGAAGTACACCTGTGCTTGCTGGACGAAGCGCTAGACTATCTGCTGGCCAACAAAGTGCGCATGATTATTGATATCAAGGGCGAAGACAAGCAGGTATGAAATCTAAAGAAAATATAACTAGAAAAAATTCCATGCGGACCAGGCAGCAGACGGGACTCGAATCCGCACCCTTTGCAATCCGGGCGAATACACTGACCAATTATGCTACCGCGGCCCTCACGGACCGCGTCGAAATTCCTCTAGCCATTCTTAAGCTGCAAGGCAGCGCCATCTCTTCGCATTATAGGTAACCCACAATGTCAAATGAATACTTTTACAAGTATTAAACATTTGAAAGAAGAAATAGCTGTTACAGTTATATTTTTTTTTAAAGCATGTAACTATTTGATGTTTAAATCTAAAGAAAATATAACTAGAAAAAATTCCACGCGGACCAGGCAGCAGACGGGACTCGAACCCGCACCCTTCGCAATCCGGGCGAATGCACTGACCAATTATGCTACCGCGGCCCTCACGGACCGCGTTGAAATTCCTCTAGCTATTCTTAAGCTGCAAGGCAGCGCCATCTCTTCGCATTATAGGTAACCCACAATGTCAAATGAAGAGAGAATAATATTTAATACACTTTCCCTTCGTGTGACAAACCCATGGGACGCCCTGTATGTGTAATAGGTAGCTTAGAGCATATACCAATATGTATATGCTCTAAGTTGTAATACATACTAAAATACTGCATGTAGCCTCATGAAGTAAATCGAATCGAATCGGTATTCTTATTAATATCACTTATCTTCGATGTACCTACACCATACTTATCAGCTAACTTACGGCCAGTTCCTCCGTTTTTAATGATTCAATATTTTTTTTGTCTTTAAGTGATTTAGCGATAACGCATCTCTCTAAGTTCGCAGCCTTGCGTATGATTTATATTTATTCCAATTTATTCAGCCAGTCATTCATGTTTTCGTTAAATTAAAACTGACTGAATTTGTAATTGTAATATCGTTCGTCAAAATTTATCGATACAAGTGCGTATCGATACTTTATGACGGATACAGTATCGAGTAAAAGTATCGATACTTAGATGGTATCATTTCATTCTTAAAAACAATAATAAAACACGCAGCGCAGCGATCCCACGGGGCGCGGGCGAGATATGCCAATTCCGACACATTGAATAATCATAATCATAATCATAATCAAAATCATTTATTCAGTTTAGGCTGTTACAAGCACATATGAATGTCTAGAAGCTACGCCATCGGTTCGTAAATCTACGGCGGGAGACCTTGTACTGAGAAGAACCGGCAAGAAACTCAGCAAGGGCTGTTTTTTTCTCCCTGTTTTATTATTTACAGAGTCGTCAAATTGAAAAATGACTTCAGAGGTGATTCATGAAGTCACTTTTCATTACATAATTATTAAATATACATTAATTGTTTACCTGCATTTTGATTGCTGTGTCATACAGTATAAATACATACGAATAAATTCGACTTGTAGGTACATATAATTGGTCGCGGTTGATACTCCGGATCATCTCGAATCCATTTAACTGTGGGCCGGATAAACGAGTTTCTATTGTATATTACATGTAAAGGGTATTTGACAGTATTAAAATAAAGTGCCAATTGTAAGCATCTGTATTTAGAATGAATATTGTAAGGAGTTTTTACTATTTTTACGGAAAAAATATTCATAATTTTAATAAAAACCCACGATAAAGATAATAGTTTTCTTGTCTTTTGTCACGTGACCCAAAACGATGGATGGAGGATTGGTGGAGCCTAAAATGACGTCACACGCAAGTAAACTTCCGGTTAAAGTGACATTAGATTGTATGGTTTGACGTTTTAATGACAGTCGTGTGACGTCACACAGCAGTGAGATGCCATATTGTCCAGAGATACGTTTTTCGCGGCAACTTGAAAATAGAGTTTTTCATTTAGTTTTTTTACCATAATACACAACATAATGATGAATATCTAATTTTTATGGACTCTATAAACATAAGTAAATAACGTGAGATCGTTTTCTAAAACTTGTCAAATACCCTATTGCGGCCTAATGCATTATGCATGAGAGGAGCTCGATGGCGCAAGTGGTTAGCCCGTTCGGCTGCGTTGCGATTGAAGTTAGGAAACTTTGGCAATGATCGGTTATTGGATGGGTGACCAAAAATGTACTATCTCAAGCTCCTCCGTGCTTTGGAAGGCACGTTAAGCCGTTTGTCCCGGCTGCATCTGCAGTCGTTAGCACTCACCAATCCGCACTGGGCCCGCATGGTGTGCCACGACTAGAGGATTCGATCCCGGGATCCCGGAGCCCGGGATCCCAAACAATCCCGGGATTAACTGTAGATAATCCCGAAATCCTGCGATTAGAAAAATCGACCGGGATCGAAATCTCTAGTCACGACTAAATCTTCCTATTCCATCCATAGGGAAAGTCTGTGCCCCAGCAGTGGGAACATTAATGGAGTTTGTGTATTGTTTTTAGGTTATCAGCGGTATCTTGAAGACTTTCTCTACGCGGCCGACTCTGTACCAGTACGCGGCTGTGACTTGCTTCAATCCCATAGTTTTATACCAAGTGAGTACAGTGGATTTAAGATTAGAAAAAAACGACGGATTGCACTCCGGGAGTGCGGGCAGAAGTGAAAACTTGAATATTAACTTGTGCATTTTTGATATTTTGAAATGGTTTGGGAATAATTTTGCAAGAATTGCTTTAATTATCAGTATAAAAGTACTATCATGTATGTGGTAGAATACAATATTTATTTATTGCGCTATCATACACAAACATGACAATTTATATTACATGAATCACGTTTAAGCGCACTTAGCGACATCTATTGTAAAAAAAATGCATTTTCTTCGCAATAAAGCTGCCACGTGGCTATATATATATATATATTTGTCGCGTTTGACGCCCCTAGCGTTTCAGAATCGCCGAGTTACCCTATGACTTTGATGCTCGTCGGGAAGAACTGCGCACGCATCCCACACACACATATACAATGTAGTCGTGTGACGCATATCCGTTTTATCTTTTCCATAGGATTTTCCCATTTAAATGAAAAAAGTTTCACTTTAAAAACATGTCGGAACCTCCCATGGAAATTCGTCATTTTGATATCAGGCTGTCCTTTTTATACTCTATAAGGAATAAAAAGGAGACTGTTGTCAAATTTAAAAATAGCAAATACGACTAACAATGTGGAGTGTGACGGCATCAGCTAAATACTTAAACTTTTCCTTCCAGATACGCAAGAAAGATCCCCAGATAGTCGGTGCTATAAGTTACAGGCCGTACTGCTTCAGTGCTCTCGAATATGATGCGGATAATGGACCCAATAAGCTGAGGTTTGTTGGCAAGTTTTTAGAAAATTTCTTATGTTTTTTTCTAGTGTCTATAACATGTGGTTAGAGATTTGAATAGTTTTCTATTAAATAAAATACGCATAGAATAGGCTAGTTGACTCATGTCGAATTGTATTAAATAAATGTTTATTTCTTAAAGTATTTGGTCCAAGGAACCTGAATATATCGATTTCACTTCATAAAAGCAGAAGATTGCTCTATACTTTTTAAACACTAAAAACGCTGTTCGCCATATCGGCCATGATTGTGACGTCTCTTTTAGTAAACAACTAAATGTCATTCATACATAACTTTAAAACTTGTATTATTAAAACTGATAATAAATGAAGAGACTTATCAAAGTGATCTTCGCAAAAATAAATTTTACTATGAATCGATAAAGTTGCAGGATCACTTTTAGCAAGTTCTAACCAGGTATTGCGTAGGTTAATTTCTTTCGGCACTTTAAACCACAACTTTCCTGGAGTCTTCAAGGATGTGTTTTTACATTCTCGTACAATCCAATAATGATAATTACTATATTTTTCGTGGTATCTATTAGAAATCATGTTTTTTTATTATAAACTCAGATAGGTTATTTTCTACGTGCTTACGAGTTTTTGTTTAGTACCGTCGACGTCATAGCATAGATAATCTATAGACTAAAATGGCCGACAGCGTTTTTGTATGTCCATGAAAAGTCTATTTTAAAATTGAAGATTTGTAGCTTTCTAGGTCTCAAAAAAATACAATACATTTTTTTTCGGTCTAATAAAACATTTATTAACCATTTAAAACCTTTTTCCAAAAAGGGTCGACTAGCCTATTTATGGCGATAATGTATCGGTACTTGTTTTTTCTTCTTCTTTGATATTCAATAGTAATCAGGTCCTTTATGCTACTTTCCGAGCAGGTAAAGTATAATTAATTTTAGTATTTAGCATATCATAATTGTACAAAAGATGGTAGGTATATAATATAATCGACCGAATTATGTTACCCATTTGGGATTAGCAAAAGTTAATTGTATTAGCGTGCAACGGACATTCCATAAATATAATTATAAATAATAGATTATTCATTATTCTCAATTTTACTTCTTTATTACTTTTATTATATTTATAATTTAAATTAATAAATTGTTATTTTTTATTTTATTATTATTAATTTTAGTTAATGTATGTAAATTTTCTCATTATAATATTCAATTTAAAGAATAATACCACTTTAGTAGCAGGAAATGCTTTAATTTTTTAGAAATTGACTAATGTTTGTTTCTGATCTTAACTCGGGTGGATTAAGGCCCGAGGCGTAGCTAAGGCTTCTCAAACCACACCCTCGTTGGTAATCGGTCACTTTCTCCCCTCGGTGAACAATGTACTATTATACTTAACCTGCTCGGAAAGTAGCAGAAAGGACCTGATTACTGTTGTACTACTAAGCAGGCTGAAAGAGTGTATGGAAATCCATTGTTAACGTGCTGATTTTCTTTTGATCGGATGTATGGTGGTATGCCTAAGCGAAATAAATATATATTGAGACAAATAGAAGAGGGCACTGGGAACATTCTGCACTGGGCCCAATCCTCACTGGTCCCAATCCCCACTAGGCCCAAACCGCACTAAGTTTTAATGAGTGCAATAATTTTAATATAAATTTCAATTACAGCATTTGTCTTTTGTTTCCTTGTAGTTATAGTATAAAGCACTATGAATCCCTCTAAAGAAAGTTCTTTTCCCATTTCGGGTGTATTAAGTTCTCAAATTTCACCCTCGTTGGTAATAGGTCACTTTCTCCCCTCGGTGAACAATGTACTATTCATCTACTTTACTCGTTGGCCTCAGCTTAAACATTCGGCATTAGCATTGAAAATCCTTTGTTTTTCGTCTAGATTCGGCCACAACCTAGCCGTGCACGCGGCTTTGCGCGGCGCAGATTTCATACATTCTCTCCTGTGGCGTTGGAGCGCGCGCTGGTGTGGAGTTAGCGCCGTGTTATTGCACAAGGATATCGTCAGCCCGTGAGTAATATTTTTTTTTTAAATATAATCTATAACTAAAATCTTTCAATGAAATATCCGAACGCTCAATAAAAGTCGTTCGAAGGTAGCTCGACAAAGTAAAAAAAAAATCAGTATTCTGACGATGCAGACCTGAAAAGGCTGCGAAACGTCAATAAATAAATAAAGTTCGTGCATTAACCCGTTAAAACTAGTTTTATTTAATGAGTTATGTGCGTGAAAACCTAAGAAACAAATATTATTTTATACTTTCGAGCAAAAAACGGTATAAGATCACATCCCGTATCATGGGCACCTCAATTTACATTATATCACGTTTTTTATCGTGCCTAACTGTCAAACTTCATGGTAATTTGACAATTGAGCGTGATAAAAACGTGTTATATATCTTATCGTTGTGCTCTTGCTAGGGAAGCACGTTTATTGTATGGGAGCTCCCTTCAAATATTTCTTTAATTATTTACTTTTAAAAGTGAATATACACCTAAATATTCTGTGAACATTTCAAGCGTCTACCGGTTGTAGCATTAATAGCAGCATTTTACCTGAAATAAAATGCATATTAAAATACTTACCTCACTGAAAGCTTTATATTGAGATAGCACTTCCGTTTCCCGTCGAATTACCATCAGTTTCCGTACTTTTATTCACCTTGTATCCGGTCCAGTGGCGACACCTGGCAGAAGCGCGGCCATTTTTGTTTTCCTAAGTTTTGACAGCGCTATATTAACTCATTGGCTCAATTATTTCACCAGGCAGAATTTAAAGTGAAAGCTTTCAGTGAGGTAAGTATTTTAATATGCATTTTATTTCAGGTAAAATGCTGCTATTAAACTACTTGACCGTCACTGAAAGCTTTATATTGAGACCTGTTTGTTATCGCCTGGTGATCGCCACGTACATAGATATATACGCCAATGTGACAATTTATGATAAATTTAAATATTAACATTTATCAGATTATATGAAATTGTATAAAGAAACGAGTAAGCTTAAAAATGAATCAAATAATATTATTTGAATCCCGCCTTTAATTTCTTCAAGCTTACGAAGCTGCTTTAACATATGTATTAGCTGATCGCTATATTCCTTTGCTTAAAACTCGCTACATATATTTGCTTTGTTAGTGACCGGACGCTTCCTTGTGTAGCATTCATTTGTATCTTTGTATATCACAAATATGGCGTACGAACGCGAGAAAAAGATGTAAAGTTGTTCGATACTGAGTCTTACAATTTACAAGACTGTACTTTTTACTTAAGTACCAAAAATCAGGGTCCCACTTACGATTACCATTATTCGATACAAGTCACCAATCGGATTGTCTTTAACTACTTTCACCTGTTTTGAACCAAAACAAGGCTAAACTAATCTTCGTCGGTACAAATACAATGATTCGGGATAATTTGAAGTAGGAACAAGTCATGTGTACCACATGCTGAACCAAATAATACGCAGCATAATTACTGTATGACGTTCAGAACAACATATATGACGAAGTATTTGAAACAGATCATTATGATGTAACGAGTACAATATTGAAGAAAAGGAAATAAGTTAACTTATAGACACAGAATAGTAGGTTACGGACCGATTCTTTAAAAACAATAGACTTCAATATATGTGTATGCCAAGACAGGTGAGCTTAGGTAATTAGACTTATCATCCATTGGTATGTCATGTAAAAACTACTGACTTATTTAAAATAATGGTACTTATTTTAAGATAAGTCACGAGTTAAAAAAAAAAGTCTCTCAAAAATCGTGTTAGTTCAGAGCCGAGTCCACAACTTGCGGGATTATTCCGATAAACATTCTTGTTCCTAGACCAATGCAACCACGCAAGCCAGCGTTTCCGAGCCATCTCATAGCCGTTTAAGACAGAGCTGTCGCTCTTTGTAGAATATGTTGAAAAGCGTAGTGCTAGCATATCTATTTGATTGGAGTGAAGATTGAAGTTAAGTGGTAAAGCCGTGTTCTTCAACTATACTTCCCAAACTTTCATATTAGTTGGCGGGAAGTGATTGCAAGGTCGATTGCAGTGAATTCATAATTATTGTTAGAAGTAGGGAGTGGTTGATACAACCCCACGGAATGACAAAAATGTTGAAACCGATCAACTTCTGAAGTTTACGTTTTTACAACGAAATTTCTCTGGTATAATTTTTATATTGTTGCTGTGTTTCCGTGATAAATTATGCTATTACGAAGTTCAGACCAGATTTTATGAAATTCATTTGCCATCCTGGAATCTATAATTGATTGTAATTTTTCCTTTTGTTTTTCAGTTCTTAGATCTGAGTCATTTATATGTATTACTTAATACTAAATAAAGATTTAGTTATTTATAAGATTTACACAGCTTACATGAGGTGGGCATGTACTATGCGTAGGGTTTGAAGTATATTTATTCCAGACAGTCGTGGCAAGGTTAGAAAGCGTAAGTTTAATATTAAGAACAGTTTTCAGTAATTTTTACTAAAATAACATAAAGTGGATAATTGCATACAATGATCTTCAAAACCTTTCAAGAATTTGGTAGATCGTGCAATCTTTCTTCAGTACATAGCACCACTTATATATCAAAATGATCATGTTGGCCACCTCAGACACCACATACACGACATTTCTAATATTGCAAGTTTCTCTCATTACGCGATCAAAAGAGTGAGTAACCCATTTGGTTTACTTTTGTTATTTTCAAGAGAAAATATGTTATCATCTATTTATCTGGCAGATAGTCCTTAAATTGCAGAAAACTTAGAATTCTTTACATATTTATAGTGTACTGCACTTGAGATTGGAGTTTGATATATATTGGATTTAGATAAACAAGCTTTTGAATGGCATGCGATACCATTAAATGTATTTAAGAATTATTTATGGAGCTCTCAATTTATCAACTTACCTGCACTAAATTTTTTCAAACATTAATTGTTTCGATATTCCTTTTTCTTTTGAAATGTATTATATATTACGGTAGGACAACCGTAGTGATCGAGTCAACACTTCACACCAATTAGCCTAGCCTTATAATGGGCATTGAAAGGCTTGTGTTATGGGCTAATGCCTAGAAATGCATAATGATGATGCATAGATTAGTATGATTTTGAATTCATATTTGTTAACAACCAAAACTTAGGCACAGATGCTCGTTTTTATCATACAATGATTTGCCCCACCGGGGTGAACCCAAGACCTCGGAGTATGCGACACCTTAAAAACCACGTACATTGCACTTCCCAACGGGGTACGTCAACATTCGATGTTCGATCTTTATAGTCTATTAAGAGGGTAGTTTATAGCCGATACTTATGTGTGCACGCAAGCCATGAGCGGGTATGTTGCGTTGCGTTGATGTATGGATTTCCACGCGATGGAAGTAATGAATTATGTCAAGCGACATTTATTATATTTTCAATTTACTTATTTTTAATGTTTCGAATCGTTTACACTTTTACAGACCCCATGGTCACAAAAATAAATTATGAATCACGAATAGACTACAAATTATGCATAATTTGCTCCACTCGAGTGTCGTATGTTACCGGTGCTTACATAATAGTACGAACTCCATAAGCGAACATGTTCTAAGGAGAACATATATTGATATTCACGTAATGGACATAATATATTATGTGTGATATGACCCCACAAGGGCGATTATAAGATTGATGAGGATATTTCTCTATCAACGATGTTTTGTTACTGATACTTGTATGTGTAGGCAAGCCATGGAAGGCAAGTCCTTATTCATAATGAGTTCCATACGGAAGAAGCAAATTATACATAATATGCCCCCGCGAGGGGCGGTCATCAGAGTTTTGGTAATATGCACGCAGGTGGTTTGCTACCGGTACTCGTATATGTAAGCAAGGTATTAGAGGTATTTCATAAGGTTTCACGTAGTGGAAACAAATTGTATATAATATGCACCCCGCGAGGGTGATTTGCTACCGGTACTCGTATATGTAGGCAAGTCATTAGAGGCATTTCATAAGGTTCCACGTAGTGGAAACTAATTGTACATAATATTCACCCCGGGCGGGTGATTTGCCACCGGTACTCGTATATGTAGGCAAGGCATTAGAGACATTTAATAAGATTCCACGTAGTGGAAAAAAATTATATATAATATGCACCCCGCGAGGGTGATTTGCCACCGGTACTCATATGTGTAGGTACGCCATGGGAGGGCGTTGTCCTGACACGCCTTGGGCTTCATGAGATGAAGCTTATGAATATCACTTGCCTCTGCGCGAGTTGCTCATTAGGTTGATGAAATGTCAATCACTTAAATCCATGACAAATACTTACTTAATACGAGAAAAACAACCTCATAGATGGTATCTTATTAAGTGGTGCTTCATCACAGAGATCACTAACTTCTTAAGCAGTGCTTTAGTTTTTACTTTTTAGCTTTGTGCTAGCTGTAAAAGACCTAAGAAACAATTCTGTTATCTTATCACTATCGTTATTAAAATTAACTGAGCAGGTGCCTTCCCGCAATGATTCATTTTTATTTTAGAAATATGCAATTGCTGAAAGAAAATTAATGTCAGGAACGTGATATATCATAAATTATCATCATACTTCTTTACCTCGTTGTTTGTTTCCAGGTTGATAAAGCCTGGACTATGATTATAATTTTCAATTTACATCAGCATATCATTTAAAATAACCGTTGAATGTCTTTCGAACAGAGCGTTCCTTTATCCTAGTTTAGTCACACGACTCATATGAGAATTTTTATTACGTGTATTAGTCAGTAAAAATGTTAGAACTTTTTATTCATAAGCCTTTAGATATTGATAGCTGGCCATGTTCAGAAAACGGCATATCGACATTAGAAATACCTTATTAAGATTGTACATAGTTCACTTACCCCTCGAACAATCTTTTAATAAAAGGGCTGGAATATCAAGCTCGCTTATTTTTCTTGAGGCAGCGATGCCGCTTTCGTTATATCAGAAGACGACAAATTCAACCAATTATTACTGCAGCTGTTCGAAGAACAATAATGACTAGATCCACACATCTTGCTGTTTTTGCCAATAATGCCAGTCAGTCGGCGGCTGAAACGTCAATATTGACCGATATTCCTTCACTCTAAACTGTAAAACAATTTAATTAAGTATTTTGTAATACATTTACCAATTTACTTTCACATTTACTTATACGGAAACATTAATTGAGTACCAAGAGAAAATACTCTTAAAATAGTTTTTATGATAAACGACCAAGACAGACGTAAAGTATTGCAAAAATTTACTTTAATGTAGGTACTTTAATTTTTTAAACAAAACGCACCTTGAATTGCCGTCAAGTTTTACTCACGGCTTATTATTACTTTTTCAAACAAGCGTATTGCACAATTTAACATATTTGTTTTAAATATCCCTTATCACAAGGGCTGCAAAAACTATCAAAAAGAATAATAGTTTTACTTACGGTCCTTCACTTTTAACACGTAAAGTACCTATTTGGAATAACACGAACGGCAAAAACCGTTAAAATAAAATAGTTTTACTTACTACAGTTTTATCACTTAATAATAATAAAACCTTTAAAATCTCACAACGATCGCTCAGATTGAGGACGTGTTGCTTCGACGGGAGTCAGAACGCCAATGAGTTAATATAGCGCTGTCAAAACTTAGGAAAACAAAAATGGCCGCGCTTCTGCCAGGTGTCGCCACTGGACCGGATACAAGGTGAATAAAAGTACGGAAACTGATGGTAATTCGACGGGAAACGGAAGTGCTATCTCAATATAAAGCTTTCAGTGACGGTCAAGTAGTTTAATATAGAGCAAACATCAGCAAAATTGACGTTAATTTAATTATTTATTTTTAAGTTCACAGTATTATAATAATATAATGTTAATTGTAGTTATACTATATTTTCTTTGTTGTATCTTATTTTTTTAGACAAAAAAAAAACTATTTTTTACCGTAGTTTTAATAAGAAATATTTTTTTAAATAAGCTATGCTACTAATTCTAAATCTAATATTGCATGACGCAGGAGTGAGGTACAGTACTGGCGCGATTTGAACGTGCGATGCGCCGGTTGGTGTGTAAACAGACCACTGGAGAAACTTTACTGGCGGGGTGTACTTCGAGCCCCCTACTTGGCCAACACTTTACTGGGCGAGCCCGATGTGAGTGGAAATGTAAAATAAAAACATTACTTTTTCTATCGTGAAAAAAAGCCTTAAAAATAACAGGAGAAAAAGTTGTTTTTTTGGAGCATGTTTTTTTTCACGAGTACTGAATTAAAATATATTCAAGAAATTCCGTTACAAGTTTATTTTTATTAAACTTTTCTGTTTATTTTTAAAGCTACCACACTTTTTGTTGACAACAAGCTCACACGGTAAAAATTAAGAAATAAACCTTTGCAGATTGAAAAGCGGTCAGAAGACAAGAGCCGAGAGAGCGACGAATCTTTGGATCGACCCGGCCCTATAGTAGACCGTCTGCTAGAGACCGAACGACATATGTCATCTGGACAAAAATAAATACATTACTAAAATTAAAAAAAAAAACTTGAAAAACATTTCTCGAAAAACCGTAGGCTGGACGTTCACGATAACGTTTGCCTTACAAAAAAATAAGAAAATAATTGAGCAATGCCTCGAAATTCGATTTTAATTTTCGAACGTTCGAACCGGGAATGAGCCAAAGCATAATTTAACGTTAAAGTATTTATTTCAAAACGTTGTTTTTTTTTATTTGTTAGCAGTTAGTTTTTCGCCCAGTGCATTTTTGATAATGTTAAAGAAACTTGAACCAAATCTCTTAGTGCTTAAGGCTGATAATACGAGACGCTTACTCTACAGTGAAAAGATATTTTTCCTTCGTAGATGGACGAACAACAACGGAGCAATTACGAGAAATTCAAAGAGCTCGATTAACGAAGATAGAAGCTTTGTCTATTGTATAGAGGTTAGTTCATACTTTCATACACCATTGTGCCATGCGTGTGGGGTTACCATCCTTCGATTATTTTTGTTAGATCTAATATTTTGTATTTACGTTGAATTGGGAATGTATTGCTTAATAATTTAAGCTAATATTTCAATTCTTGAAAAGAAAAAAAATTAAACTGCGTGTGTGATCATTTGTCATTCATGTTTTTTTTGTTGAGGTTGTAGTTTGATTATTTCTTTGACATCATTTAAATGCGAGTATTTAAAAATCGTCCCAAATCAGTTGATTATATCTCGGCTCGCTATTTTTAAACGTTTAAAATAACCCTGTACGCTTGGTTATTCCTCCTTTCATCAGAGTTGATGTATAAATTGTCCAAATTTTGCGAAATAAAAAATGTGATATTACAAATTGTAATAGACAAATTGCTTCCAAGAGTAGGTAGATAAGCGTCTTCAAACATAATATGTACAAAATATTCAAAGGTGCTTGGGGTCTATTCTTTGTGGGTGTCTTTATTATTTTCGATTGTTGTTCGAGTAGTTTTCTACTGCTGTTTTAATGATGGACATAATTTTTCCATAGAGTTGCTACTGAAAAAGGGAAGTGGGTGCTTTAATGGTTAAGTTTGATAATTCCAATTCCAATTCCAATGAAATGTCAAAAGGACAAATGTCACTGAAACACAAAATTATTTAAATTGAGTTTTCCGAGTTTAGCCGCGTGAATAATGAGGGATAATGTCATTTTTTTTCATAGTTTATCAGGTAGATTATGAAGAAGTTTTGGACACATATTTTTTCTTTATTCAAAACATTAACGGACTTAATATAATTTCATTTAATTTACCTCGTCATCATTCCTTTTTCACGCAACTTAAATATGGTAAGGTGATTGTTGGAAGAGATTTTGAACGATTTCGAAACATTGTTTTCACTCTTGAAGAATAGACCTCCAGATACGATGGTTGTTTTCCCGACAAAAAGTATTTACTTGAGAGTTCTTAAGGGCAACCCTTGATAGTAAAAGAGCGCTTATTTTTTTAATAATAAATTTGTACAGTTGTATTTTCCGATTATTGCCATCACTATTCATAAACTTTCACGAGTTCATATTAATTTTACGAATTAAAATATTTTTAATTAAAATATCGATATCGAATATTTTGGATTTCCAAAAGTAATTTAAAAATTCAACCACCACACGCACGTGTCACAAAATACATTATGAATTAAGAGTAGGGTTACCATTCGCCCGGATTAGTCCGGACATTTTCGGACTTTTATAATATAGTCCGGACTTTGTCCTGATTTTTAAAATTATATTTAATATGAATAATAATAGTACAATTTGATTTAAATACCATACCATTGTAACTAAGTGAGTAATGGTACCATTTTGTGATTAAAAAGTCCGGACTTTTTTCGAAATGTCAGGATTTTTGTCAGGACTTTTGAAATTCCTAAATAGTAACCCTAATAAAGAGGCTAATTAATGACAAAGAAATTTTTAAACCTTATATTTGTTTAATATGTTGGCTATCGAAAACAACCATTAAATTGGCGCTGATAAATTTTATTTATAATTAGATTTAATAATTATTATTTAATGTTCATTGTGCAAGTAGCATAATATATTTATTTTTTGACCTAAGAATTGTAATAAGCAACTTATTGTATTTTTTGTTAGCTGATAAATTTTACAATGTTTTTAAAGAAATTGATTTCTAAATATTATGTTGCCGCTTTTGAATACATATACGCCTAGATAACGCATTAAAGACACATATGGTAGATACGCTAGTCGCTACACACGCACACATTGACTGCTTTCAAACAATCTGACATCAGAGTCACGCACACATTGCGCTGAACATAAGCCGTTTTCTTTGCGTGGTTTATTTGGATTGCTGTATCTAGGCGTCCACATAGTCAAAGGTTTTAATTTGTTTCGAAAAATTATGATTATTAAATATTATTTTTTATTCAAATATATTACGACTGGATTTTATATCATAACAAATTTGATCATCATCATGAAAATTCAGCCATACGATGACTACTGTATATACTTAGAATAGACGGGGAACATGGCGATCTTTTTTTTGCGGGTCAAAGAACTCCATGTTGGTTAATCCTGAGCTGTCCGCATCCAGCAGCTTCCAGTAAGTGGTCGCCATTCGAGAACCTTTCCGCCCCAACGGCTGGTCCTCTTCGCTATGTGTTCCGCCCACTTACCATAACGTAACCCTAAGGTTACCATCCGTCCGGATTAGTCCGTTCTTTTTCCGGTTTTTTAAATTACTTTGGATATGAATATAATGGTACCATTTTGTGACTAAAAAGTCCGGATTTTTGTCAGGACCTTTGAAATTCCTAAATGGTAACCCTACGCCTACTGCCGCTCCGGAGACCCAAGCGCAAATTTGGAAAGCCCCGTAATTGTATCGCATCGTCAAAAGTTTCTATGAAAAATGAATAGATAAATACCGGTCGTAAGAACAAACTGAATCCTTCCAAACAAAATACGACGATGACGATACGATTACGGAGCTGTCAAAATTCGTGCTTGGGTCTCAGTGCCATAAGCGAGAACCATTATCGAAATCGAATATTTTAATTTAATCTCGATACGCGTCAAATGTCAAGAAATTCTAGTGCTATTTAATTCTCAATGCGTCCGTTGTGGCGCTGTTCGAGTTTCATGCAAAAAAGTCGATGATTCGCACTCGCAAACGTAATGAATTCGATATTTGTTTGTGCTAAGGGTACGGCTAAGTAATCTTAAACCTGCTGATTTCATTATTTACGATTCTATCACGCCGAAAAATAATTTCTCCGCATAACAAATTTTCTAGGAATATAATCTATTTGCAGTGTAGGCGCAATTTTTGAAAGAGTACATTTTTTTTTCAAATTATCATCATGTACATTTTAGTCATGTGAACATATCTTTTTTATTTACACATAAATTAACTTGGAATCTTGTAAATTCATCAATTTAATATATTTTGACGAACAAATAATGTGCTTAGTGTATTTCGTACCTACCTTGTAGCTTTAATGATAAACTGTAGGATGCGTCATAATCATTTTCGGGTCGGAACAAGTAATAAAGCAAAGAAGCAATGCTTTGCTAAGTATTAGTTGAATTTGACATTAGATCGCATTTGATTTTGATATCGTAAGGAAATAAAACTTTGCCCATTCCTGGTCTATATGTAAAAATAAGATCTATATGGTATAGGTCATAGCACACCTAATTTGCAAATCGTATACGAGGTTTATAAGGCAGTTTACGAGAATTTTAGCTGCTTATGTACGAGGAAAAATTCTACGATTGGCTAACCTGGCGGTGACCACCCGCTGCTCCATGGAGGTTAGAGAGAAGGATATCGATCGCTGTAGAAAATAGTGTCCCAGAAATATGGACAAAATAAGTGAGGCGCTACGATCGCTAAGTTGTCTCAATAAAAGTGGGATGTTGTGCGCTAATTTAAAATTTGTACATTATTCAACTAAACTCAGATACTACTTACCGACGGCAGCGTGGCTAGTGGCTGAAAAATGAACTACAAATTTTCAGGGACAGGCGGGCTAATGCTTTATGCACGTAGCGATCGTTCTCCTTTTCTCTAACCTCCATGCGCTGCTCGCTCGCAAGAAATGTGTTGTACCTACACATACGCGCTCTGTCTTGGGACGGGTCGCACGGCCGGCGCGGCATTAATCCGTGGCTAGGGGTTACTATTCAAATTTTTTAAAGTCCTGACAAAAAGCCGGTCATTTCGATAAAAGTCAGGACATTTTAGTCACAAAATGCAAACATTACCTACTTAGTTAGTGATATTATACGCGTGGTAGCAGACGCTTGCATCGTGAGGAGGGTCTCGTTGTTGATTTTTAAAGATGATTTATATTTTGTTTTAAATTAATGAGAACTTAATAATCGATTATTTGACTTATTTTTTATAACTTAATAAGAAGTTTAACTCATATTTCAACAAATTAAAAAAAACCGGACAAATTAAAAAGCCGGTCAATTTCCGGACAAACGGCAAAATGTTAGGACAAATCCGGACGGATGGTAACCCTACCCGTGGCCCACCCGACGTAAGCTGGTTGACAGCGCGGCGTCCACGAGAGGTCGGCGCGTGCCGAGGCGATGCTGGTCGGGTGCCGAGTGTTTCAGCTGCGCAATGACTTTAGTCGACTTTGACTCTATGTTCTTGTTCTAAGAGCTAAACATTCTTACATTTTTTGTACAGAAATTGTTAATGTTCGTATACTTAGTTAGCACTTTATCAAGCTTAAAAACAAAACGCATGGCGGTGCCACTTAGAAAATGAGCGCTATAAAAACACATTTTTAGACTAATTATTTTTAAATTATTCTTGTATTTATTATTTTTATCTCAGCCGCCTTAGCAGTGATGGAAATAGTTTACTGTGTGTTGTATTGAATACAGATTATCTGCAATATATTTATGTTTACGACCAATAGTATTATTGTAACCAAATAATAAATTATATTTTTTATGAGCAGTGCTTTTTGTTTTATTTTTAACTACCTAGCGCTCGCGACTTCTTCCTCGTTAACTTTCGTTTTGAGATACCCTCAGGAACATAACATTTTCCGGTATAAAAAAATATCCTGTTTCAATCCCAGTTAACAAATTAGGTACATGTATGCCTGATTTCATCCAAATCTGTTCAGCCAGTTTTGCGTGATTAACAGACAACGATATTAAATACCCTAGATACACCACGTGCGCTCAAAATGTGACAGTACTCTAGCACGAACCAATATCGAATTCGAAAAGTTTGCGAGTCCGAAATGTCATTGTCAAAATTAAATGTGTAGGTACTGATTTTTAATTCTCGTTACGTACTTTGGCTCTGCTGTTCAAGTTTCCATAAAAACATTGACATTAAGCATTCGCAAATTATTCGAATTCGATAATGGTTCGTGCTAGGGGTACGGGTAACTAATCAATGTTTGTTAATTCAATGCATTTGAAGAATTTTATTCTAATACTATAAACTGATTTAATAAAAAATATTTGTGATATTCAAATGCATGGTCGGTTATACATATCGTACGTCACAAACAATTGGGTATTAAGTCGGCAAAACCATTTATTTTTTTATTTGCGTTTCGAAAACTACTTTTTTTTCTTTTATAATTGTGAGTTTTCTAAACAGTATTATGTTAAGTTGATACCTACCCTATTGCCCGTTCGGTTTAATACAAAAGTTT